TAGTGGGTGATTATGATGGAGCCAGGAGCAGAATAGCTGAAACCGTGCGCACCAACACTTGCGGGCGAGCCAAATTAGTACTGCACTTGAAAGTGGGTTCTGGCTAGTAGTGGTGCTGGTGGTAATAGGTAGTGGTAGTAGAAGTGGGCAAGTGGGCTGGTGGGCTGCTCCATAGTAGCGGAGTTGCGCCAGAACCGGGCCTTGAAGGACTAGAATTAAGTAGTGGGCTAGTCAGCCTTCTAAACGTAACTAAATAATTTGATGCTAAGTGAGAAAAAAGAGTAAAATGATTGAATGGGTGAGTGAGTGAGTTGGTGAGTAAGAGACTTGGGACGGGGGAGGGAGGGAAAGGAAAAAGACACAGCAGGTAAAGCGCAAAAAGAGATGAATGGCGCGCGCGAGCCCAAAATAGAGCGGGGCAGGGTTTCGCCCATGCAGCAAAGCAGCAGCAGCAGCAGCAATAGAAACTGCTACTGTTACTGCTACTGCTGTTTCTGCTGTTGTTTCTGCTTTGCTGCTGGAACAATTTCTTTATCTGGTTTCGCCCCTACTTGTCCCAATTCTCCATCCAATTTACTTACCTACTTACTGTACTTTCCTTTTTCTCTGGTAGTCTTCTCCCCGTACTCTGGTACTCTGGTACTCTCTTGTTTCGTATCGGCGGATATCCGATGATGTATGATGTACTTGAGATTGCTGATGCTCTCGCTCTTGCTCTGATTGTAGTTGCTGTTGCTGCTGCAAGTCTCTGTGGAGGCGTCTAGAGTTCGATCGAAGAGTCCAGTCCCAGGTCATTAACCATAAAAATAAAAATATAAATTAAAAATAACCAAAAAAAATCACCAAAGAGGCGAGATACCAACAAACCTGAAGGCTAAGTCAAATCGAATCACTCACTCACTCACTCACTCACGTACTCTGTCAGTCAGTCTTCCTTCTAGGCCCGATTGTTCCATCCCAATAAGATCTCTCGCTGACATCGTCGACTCTTTATATTTGCCTTTTTTTTCTCTTCCACTCTTTCTTTTTTGTCTTCTGCTTCTTCCAGATCCTCTGGTACCGTCGTTCGCTCCCACCGCTTTCTATCCCATTTTTATTTTTATTCCCTTTTTTTTCTCTTGTCCTTCCTCTTTTCTTTTTTAAAATTATTATTTCTCTTTCGCCATCCTCCTCTTACACCTCGTCTTTCGCTTCCTTTCTCTGATATCCATTCGCTTCGTATGGCCATGTTCCCTGGTTGTAAATAAGCAAGTCACCGATCACGATATCATCGCCCAACCTAGCTGGCCAGATTCAGCAGCGGTTACATCGGAGAACCGTAGCATAGGGCCACCACTCGTTCTTCCAAGGGAGTATAAGATTTGGGAAATCCTGTCTTTGATCTCATCCGATCCTGCTCGGAGTCACCCGCCGTCATCGAAGAACCCTCGCTCGAATAAAAGTCTTTCGTTTCCTTGTCATTGTCTGACCAAAGCTTCCTGATCTGCTTCACCTTTGAAGTTGTGCTTCCCATCTCCCAAACCCCCGCCCTCCTTCATTGCCAAATATGGAGAGCCCTCGTCAGTCTGATGCAAGCACTCCGGTGGAGCCCAACTCCCCGGGCTTCGTGGATACGCCAGCGACGCAGTCATCCGTCTTGTTTGATGGCAATCTCGAGGAGTTGCTGCGCAACTTCCCCCTCGATCAGTACATCCTCGTTACAGGGGGTCTCGGGTTCATCGGAAGTCACACAACATTGGAGCTACTCAAAGCCAATTATAATGTAATCGTGATCGACAATCTCAGCAACTCCTTCCAGAGCGTCTTCGACCGCATCAAGCTGCTGGCGTCCAAGCATCATGAGCAACAAGGAACATGCATGCCTTCCTTGCAGCTGCACGCTCATGATTTCCGGGATACTGTTGCTCTCCGGGAGCTTCTCGATCAGTACCAAACCCAATCCAGATGGGGTTCCCCCAAGTCCAAAATTGCTGGTGTCATCCATTTCGCTGCTTACAAAGCAGTTGAAGAGAGCATCAGAAACCCTCTGAAATACTATGCCAACAATGTCAGTGGTCTCATCGACTTTGCTACCACCTTGGGTGACTATGGCATCAAGACCTTTATCTTCTCATCCTCTGCCACCGTGTATGGTACCTTGGCCACCTCCGGCCTGCCGCTGAAAGAGGAACTCTGCGTTCACAAGGATGAGACTTTCACAGACCACAACGGTTCCGAGCAACAGGTCAAGGCTGGCTGCACAGGCATCACCAACCCTTACGGCCGCACCAAATGGATCTGCGAGGCCATCTTGGCAGACCTCGCGGCCTCTGATCCAGAATGGACCATTGTCGCTCTCCGGTATTTCAACCCGATTGGATGCGATGAGTCCGGTCTCCTTGGCGAAGATCCCCGCCAAATACCCACCAATCTCCTGCCTGTGGTTGTCAAAGTCATGACCGGGCAATATGCGGAGCTGCAAATGTTCGGCACGGACTGGGACACTGAGGACGGCACTGCCGTCCGCGACTTCATCCACGTTACCGATCTCGCCCGAGGGCACATCGCTGCCCTCAGTGCCGCCAATGGAGGCAAGTTGGCTGAGAACTTCCGCACCTTTAACCTCGGCACAGGACGCGGCCATTCTGTGATGGAGGTGGTGAACACCATGGAAAGCGTTTCTTCCAAACCCATTCCCCGCAAAGCGGCTGGACGTCGTGCTGGTGATGTTGGCTCGTGCGTTGCAGTGGCAACTAGATCACAGAACGAGCTCGAGTGGAAAACTGAGAAAACGCTGAAAGATGCGTGTGTGAGCTTGTGCAATTTCCTTGATGTCAGTGGCCTTTCTGCATAGGCCTGGATATTGTTTTAATCACCCTGTTTCATCTATGTGGCGCTTGGTTTGGGTTTCACCTTTCATGATTCTTTCGTTTATCGTCCTGTGACCGTCATAATTTTCCTTCGGTTACCGATTTTTCGTATATCCCCGTGATTCCTGTTCGTGTGTTGGGACATAATTTCGACAGCCTCAAGCAACTCGTGATATTTTGCATGATAGAGACGAACGCATTCGCTATATTCATCCATCACATAGTATGCACTTGAAACCACTATACTTCACATCTGACTTTGTTCCGAGAAATCGAAGGGGTTCGCTAAGTGCGAGGCCTTCCACGTTCCTTTCATGGATAGTGTTAGTAGATTGACCAATGTCACACTTTTGCCGTGGAGCCAGCCCCATGTCCCTCGAGAACGTTGTAATCTGTTATCATGCTCCATGTGCATGAAAAGACTCCGAAATAGTCGACGAGACCAAGGCCGTCGCGAAATGCGTATGCTTAATGCATATCATTGAACAGAGCAGGAGACCTTGGGCACTGATAGAGAGGGGGGATGAGGGGCAGGGAGAAAGCATGGACGATTCAAAGAGCGGAAAGAATAGACGTTCGGGTGAATGATTAGTCAGACTGCCTGCCAACACTTCATCGTTCGACGTGGATGCAGTCTCTGTAGGTCTTCTCTGCTCTTTAAATGTTTAGGTTCGGCGCAGTCAAGCAAGGAAGGCATTTCGAGGAGGGTTATCATGTTCTTATCAGACGTTCGAAGCTAGATAGCACTGCTCACACGATCATCCTGGAGATGAACATCGGAGACTAGCGCTGACGGCGAGAACGTCTAGAACCAATGGAAGGCTTTACTGTCAGACAAGCAATATGAGAGCTCCGGAGAGATTGCGCAGCCTGCCTTAGCTTTGCTCTTTTCTCACCAGCAATATGCTTCCTGCGGGACGCAGTTGCAGGCATTGACAAGGCGCGAAGGTATAACGGCAGTCGACATGCATGGGATGTGAGTGATAATGCACGAGGCAACCGGGGAAGGGATGGCATGATGCTCGGTTCCTGCAATGTTCGTTGACATTTCCTGTTAGTCGATATCGGCAGGGAAGTCGAGGACCCATCTGCGGACGGAAATTGTCCGCGCGGGAGCAGCGGTGACAGGGACGGTGGGACTGCTAGACGATTGGAGGATGTCCCAGCTCTGCTTTTAGAACGCAGTAATGTATCGACAGGCGCCCAAGAATCATTGCCATAGCCGTCATTTCTAGATGCCGCAGGTTACCTGGAAATCATTCGGTACATGCGCGGATACCTTATCTGTCGAATGTCACTTCGGGTTCTATGATAGCTCGAAGAAGCCGCATTCGTCGCACTTGGAATAGTCTAGTGGGAATAGTACAAAGCTTGTATATTGAAAGCGTTCAAAAAGCGATGGGATTTCAAAGAAGAGTAAAGGGAACAAAGCTTGTGTTGATGCCGAGCAAACACATATAAGAAGTGCCGTGAGGAACTCAAAGCTACGAGTATCCGAATTTAGAATCATAATACTCGAAATGGGAAGAAGACTTCGTAGATTGACCAAATTCAAGGTCACAAAGCAGACCTAACGTCATGAGCGAAGTCAGGTATATGATAATGTGTTCTGGCAGTACGGTCACAGATGTATCTGAACAAGGTTGAGGTCAAGTATATTCGTCGGGCTGCCCGTATCGGTATATCGCGAAGCTCGGACTTCTGGTTTAGTCATTGATCACATGATCTCTAACCACCGGCGTGACATGGTAATTGAGCCATCGGTAGATGGACAGGGCGCAGTTCAGACTCTTTGGCAATGATGGAAATCGGACACAAATCTCCTCTCGAGCTCGATGTCATCGAAAATCCACCTTTGCAACAGACAGACTGTTCGGATCAAGGAATTGATGGCAATTTATTGAAAACTGCGCAATAGGTCACGTGTCGGCTCACCTCCGGCTTGGCATCAAATTCATGCCGCAGTTTTCTCGATAAGTGCACCCTCACTGCGTGCCGGTCGGTAGGATTCCATTACACAGCATTCGATTCAGCGTGCACGGCTTGTTTTGGGGCTGAGCACGGCATACCACGACTCCAGTGATCGACTTACTATCACCCGTTCTTTTTGTCTTCGTTCAGCTTAAACCTGCCAGACTTCACACTCTCAAAATGATCTGCCAACGATGCCGGACCGGCATCCTGTCTCGATTCCAGCAGCACACGGTTACGTCGCCTGCCCTGTCTGGCGCGCGCCAGCTCACTCTTCCCATCCAGCGGGCTCAATTCCGCAATTACAGTGACGGCAAGCCCACCGTGTCCGCCGCACCGCCGCCGCCCAAGCCCCGACAGCCTGGCGTGAGCGACGTGACCGTCGCGTCCGCCGTCTCCTCCGCCACCCCTGGAGTGTCGCAACCATTGAGCACCCCCACGGACGGTGTTCACAGCGATGTTCACCCCGGAAAGGCCCGCAAGGTCGTCGAGCGGCCCCCGAGTAGCTGCCTTGCTGGCACGAAACTGAACGGGCTCAACTACTTCAAGAACAAGCCTGATCTGCTCGCTCTGGAGGATTCGGAGTACCCCGATTGGCTGTGGGGTTTGTTGGATGAGAACAAGAAGGGGAAGACCGAGCAGGGTGGCGTTGATCCAAGCAGTAAGTGACCCCCCATCCCCCCCCCATCAATCAATGCCGCGAAGTTCGTCTCCAGCTTGGTTCGCTTTGACTAACACCGTGCTTCTTTCTCCACAACCACAGCTCTGAACAAGAAGCAGCGCAAGCGCTACGAGAAGAAGATGGCTGCCCGCGCCGCGAACCTCCCTCCCGTGATCCCCATCCACGAACAGGCCAACGATATCACACCCGCGGCCTACAACCGCGATCAGGCAGAGGCCCAGGATACCCTGGTCGTCGCCGCCGAGAGTCTCGAGAAGCGGACCGAGATCACCCGAAGCGCGAGAGATGCCCGGAGAAAGGGCATCAGAGAGGCCAACTTCCTGCGCGGGTTGTAAACTATATATTGTGTATCTTTGGCGAATCTGCGATTTTCTCGGTGGAGGTATTGATGTTGTTCGATACTGTCCAAACTTACGACCCACAATGTACAATGGTATTGTTGGCAACCCGGGGAAGGGCTGGGCGGTTGGGGGCAGGGGGGCAGAGGGGGAACTGCGTCCGGAAGAGAGATATTTTCTCCTTGTAACTCATATTCTTCATTTCTTTATCATGTACTATTTCCCAGAACCAGGCGCGCGAAATGGAATGGCTTTTAACACTTTCACTTATTGCAGCCCCAGCAGGCTCACTTGCACCACTGCCAGCACTCCATGACTTTCCGAAAGGCGAAAAGCGAAACACACTTCCAATCAACGAGGGATCTCCCAATCCGACTCATCCTTCTCCTCGCCCTGGCCCTCCACCCACGGCAAACAAGCCTCCCACAGCGCCTTGACCTCCCCATCCCCCACCGCAAGCAGCTCCGCCCAAACCGCCCTATCCCCGCGCTGGAACCACGCCAAAATAGCCACGACCAGAAAGTCCGCATACCCGGGGGTCTTCCCTTCAAAGAACGGGCCACCACCGTTGTTGTTGTCGTTCTCCTTGTTCCCGCGCCGGCCCCGCAGCATCATCACGATCACGGCCATATCCCGCTTCATCGCGTCGAGCAAACGCTCCACCTCGCGGGCATCCCGGGGCCGGACCTCGGAGAGGGGCTTCCCGAACTGCGCCGAGCGCGTCTTGATGAAGTACTCGCGGCCCCGCGCATCCAGGAAGTCCGCGACGCGGGGGACGATCAGGGGGACGGCGTTGACCCAGACGGCGCCCATGAGCTTGCTGACGGCCAGCGCGAGCGCGTAGCTGGCGTCACCGGAGGGGAATAGGGATCGAGTGTTGGGGAAGGCTTCTTCAAGGTGCGTGGCGATGGCGAGCGAGTCCATCAGCGTGCCGGAGGGGCTGGCGGGGAGGGAGGCCGGGTGGCAGATGGCGGGCAGCGTGTAGGGTCGGCCTTGGGCTTGAGGGCGGACTCCCTTGTGGGAGAGGAAGGGGGCGATGTCTGGGTAGGAGAGGAAGGTCTGCGTGTAGGGGAGCTGCTTGTAGTTGAGGGCCATTCGGGTCTTGATGGTGTTGGGGGACCAGGCCCTCTCCGACCCTGGTGGTGCGTTAGTCGTAATGCTTGTTTTGTTTTCTTGGTTTTTGATGTGGATGAAATGGAGATTGGTTTTCTTTGATAAGGTACTCACCAGAGAGGGCCGACTTAATGTCGAAGAAGTGGATTGGGCTGGAAGTCGACATTATTTTATCTTCAATATACAGTACGCCTCCTAGTTTGGCATCGGTTGAAGTTCGTTTGAGTATGCTATGACGCGGGAGAGGGGAAGGCATCTTTGATTTATCAGCTCCGCCGCCCCAAAGGTAACTACTAACTAGGCACCCTGCTTGCTTATCCGCTCTTCAACCCCGGTCATCGGCCTTGATTCACGCTTTGATGAAGTGAAGCACAGCCTAAACTTGTACGTTTGCTTATTATACTTAGACTGTTGCTTTATTGGTTTCAGACATGAGCCATTGAGATTTAGTCTCTATGAGATGCTATCTATCATTCATCTATTTTTAAAAGTCATTAAGTTCAATGAGACTCTATAGTCTCCCCGAGAAACGTCATGTGTGGGGGCTTCGTAAGGTATATGAAAGACGGCTCAATGGGTGAACCGGAAGTCGAGACTGCGGGGTTATTAGAGAAATATTCGTAATGAATGAGTAAAGCTCAGGGGTCTGACCGTTTGTTACCAAGATCCTTGTCGGCGACATCGGCCAGGTATGCCTCTCTCTCGGCACTGGACATAGCGTCCCATATAGCGGCTCTCTGTCTAAATTATAGTGTTAGCATGATAATCAGACAGTGGGATTGTGTGAACTTACTTGTTACGCCAAATGTAGTAGAGCTTGGCCCCAATGAAAACTAGAATACTCCATACGGCCATGGCAATCAGTACTTTGTTGCCAGTATGGTAGTATGGCTTGTCCTTCGCTTGATAGATCTGGGAAATGTCAGCTGACTTTCACCACAGACTAAGTGTTAGAGGGGTAACTCACCTGACTGGCAATGATATTGGACGCTTGCACCATCATGTTGTACACAGCGCTAGCGACCGTTCGCGTCCGAACTGAGCCTGCATTTCTGGACGTCATGGCCACAATGATAGCATGAATATAAGGTGCGCCAATCAATAGAATGAGAATGGCCCATCGTCCCCATGTGCTGGCCCCGTCCGGAAGAGCAACTAGTGCAATGAGTAAAATCAAGCACCAGAATTCCATGACGAGGCCAAGCAATAAACGCTGATTGAAGCGCTCGGAAATCCAAGTCCAGAACAGAAGGTTGATAATGAAGATAACATAGGCAGGAATGGTGAGAAGATTCGTCTGAAAGGTACCGAAGCCCAGGGATTTGAGCTCGAGAGTGATATAGTTTGTTGCAGGTGTGTTAGGAATCATCCATGTCAGACCGAGTAAATAGATCGGCCACATATCATAGTCGCATAGAGCAGTCCAAAGCATCTTGAGCGATACAGCCTGCCGATTGTGCATACTTCCCTTACTAGGGTCGTCACGTAGCACGCGGTTGACAAGAATCTTCTCTTCGCGTTCGTTGAACCAGCCGTCTTTACCCCGGAGGCCACCCTTTGTTTGTGTCGGTGATGCAGGCATCCAGAAGATAGCGATAATTCCAATGATTCCAGTGATTAGACCTTCAAATGCGAAGAGGTACCGCCAGCCACCTTTACCATCAGCATCGTGGATATGGAGGAAGCCAACCGCCAGGAAAGCGCTAACGATCGCAGTAGCTTCATAAGAAACCCAGAAGTAACTGAGTCTGACCGGTAGCTCTTTAGATTTGTAGAAAAAGGAAAGGAAGAGGATAGTGTCAGCAATGCTGGTAACTGTCAGCTAAAAAGATCGACGTTAGCATTCGACTTTGACTTACAATCCACCTTCCAGAAGTCCCAGAAGCGCCCGACAGATGAAATATCCGGTCTTATTCTTCAAGAAGGCTTGGCATGCAGCAACCAAGCTCCATGAAACCATCTGGAAAGGAATCCAGCGATCTGGTCCGACCTTCTTGGATAATAACTGCGAAGGCAGCTCGGCGAATAAGAATGTGAGAAGGAAGATCGTCTGCCCGTTGTTGTAGTCATTGGTATTCATCCCCAGATCCGCAAGCATGGTGTCGGAATTAGCCTGGACAACATTGCCTCTGTCGAGTTGGAGCGCAAAGAATGTCACGCATGCAAATGTGCAGATTCGCCAGTCAATCTGCTTTTCATTAGCTCTATACCCTTATTGAGAAGCGCTTGCTGGAAATACCTTTTTGATCAAGGCCTTCTCTTCCTCTTCCGTCCACTCAAAGTAGGGATCCCAACGGTGTATGCCTTCATACTCCGGGATAGGCTTATAGTACCGAGGATCCTCTGAGGTGTCGAATGCACCGCCCCCTTTGACACGCTGCACCGCGGCGAATTCGAGGGATGACGTGGACGAGCCCGATGCCACTGCAGTGACGGGACTCTTTTTACTGTCCTCGCCCGCGGGGACTGTGTCCACGGGGATATCGTGAACATTATCCGAGCCCATCTTGCCAATGGAAAAACGTTGACCACTTAGACGCAAGATATGAAGGCTCTTGTTCGCGGCAGTCGAAGAGATTTATAGAACAAAATACAGGACCATATGAGCTTTTTGATATGCTTCATCCCAAGCAGGCGAACATGAAGCTTCATCACGCGATCGCTCGGCAATATAGACAGATAGGCTAAATGCTAGATGATGTTCTGTGAAAGGTTGATTTAGCCAATCATGGCATGAATGTAATGGACTAAGAAAGATTCCAGGCATCTCGGGCGATAAGCTATGAAGTAAATCAGCTCGTGGTAGGGTGGCACTTGCGTCGAGCCCAACATCAAGCGCAGCCATGGCGGCGAGACCAGGCCGTCAAGCTGTGGAAAATGATACAAATCTCGATGTCTTGCAGTCTCATGGGGTGTTCTAAGTGCGATCACGCAAACGAAGCATAAGTGACGTTATGAGGAACAAGTCAGAAGAAGTAAAGAGAGTCCGGTAGTTGTTAGCGTGGAGTAGTAGGATTCAAGTCTAGTTCGATCTCCGCTGCGGGAAACGGCCGAAGACGCGGCGGGGCCTTAATGGGTCGGGATCGCTCAGGCGGTGGCTGCGCTTTACCGCGCCGGTACTTCCACAACTCTTGCCTTACAATCCTCCGATTTCACCATCGCACTGGTCGATGGTGATACGTTTCGTCAGCAATATGACAACATCTCTGTCAATGCTGATTGGAGGCAAGTATACAAGTCTACTGCGAAGTCCTGCGTGAATTTGTCAAGGCCAATGCAGTCTCAATGAACTGTGATGCGCCCTAGCAAAATGTGCTTGCCTTGACCCTCTCTTACCTATCTCGTCTACAATCACACTGCGGACAATGTCTTGACCATTGACCAAACCAACCGATTTTCTTCTAATTCAACTCCTCTTATAAGATGAGGACGATCTCTATGAGTGAATGCGGGTCAGGTGGGGAGTTGAGCTTGTTTGAGCTTTGGAGGGGGAAAGTTGCGCCAGGGACCATGGATATCACGCCATGTTGCACTAAACCACGTTGCCTCAACCAGCGTCAACCCTCTGGAACACAGTCTCATCCTCCGGCACTGTTCAAGGTTAACCAAGTTCTTTGATTGTTTATGGGGTACTTCTAACAGGAACAAAACTTTGGCGAGGGTTACTAAGTATACGACACTCACCACCAGATGGGAAGACCGGCAATAGGCCAGTACTCCGCCTCGAAGATTATCTGATCAACGCCCGCCATTCCTCCTCGAGACGAGCACTGATGCCTATATGTCGTTATCATTCGAAACCTTGTACCTAACCTTGTACCTCGTACCCCCTTTGCGAACCAGCAACTGCCGGAATTCGCTCGGCCATGCATACCCCGCAGGAATTGCGTGACGGCGCATCGAGTCGTCGTAAGAAGAATGGTGATTATATATGCCAGAGCGAACGGTACCCTCTCGCAGATCGAAGTCCCTCTCAAGACGGAAGAAACCCAACCTAGATTCCTCCATTCTAAACCTCAATCATGGCACCATCCATTACTGAGACCCCGACCCTTTCTCTCCGGGCAAAGCCGGTGTCCGCGCTGAAGACCGATTCGGGCTTCAACAAAGAGAACTCAATCGGATACGCAGAGGTCTATAAACATGACGACGAAGTCCAGGGTACAGAGAAGCAGCCGCCCGCATCATTCCCAAACTATCTCCCCGTCTGGGACAACGAGACAGAAAGGTTCGACATCAGCCCTAATCTACTGGCCGCTTTTTGACCCCCGCTGACCTTCGCAGATACCCTCCTCTGCAACCATTCGAGCACTATGACCACGGCAAGGATGCGGACCTCTCTTTCTCCGACCTCTTGCCAAAGGACAAAGCTCAAGTGGATGACCTCACTCCCACCATTGGCAGTGAGGTCCGTGGTGTCCAGCTGAGCCAGCTGACGAAGGAAGGCAAGGATCAACTGGCTCGATTCGTCGCCCAAAGAAAGGTCGTCGGTGAGTTGTAGCCACAGGTTTCTCCGCTGTTCTGCAAGGTCCTGTGCTAATGTCGAGCCTCATCTAGCCTTCCGTGACCAGGACTTTGCGCATCTTCCTATCGATAAAGCCCTCGAATGGGGTAGCTACTTTGGCCGACACCACATCCATCAGACATCTGGAGCCCCCAAGGGCTATCCGGAGATTCATCTCGTTCACCGCGGAGCTGATGACACAAGTGGTGCCGACTTTCTGGCCACACACACCAACTCTATCACCTGGCACTCCGATGTAACATTCGAGAAGCAGCCCCCTGGCACCACCTTCCTGTATCTCCTGGACGGACCATCAACTGGAGGAGACACCTTGTTCGCGGATATGGCACAGGCATACCGACGCCTCTCGCCTGAATTCCGAAAGAGGCTGCACGGGTTGAAGGCAGTTCACTCCGGTATTGAGCAGGTCAACAACAGCCTCAACAAGGGCGGTATTGCACGGCGAGACCCGATCACATCTGAGCATCCCATTGTCCGGACTCATCCAGTGAGTGCATCTCAGGAAGAATGAGATTAGTGGGTTTATTCGTTCTAACGTGCTGTCTAGGTTACTGGAGAGAAAGCACTGTTTGTCAACCCACAGTGTAAGTTTAAGATCACGTCGGTATCACTGAAAAACAAGCGACTAACAAAGCTTCAGTCACTCGCTACATTGTCGGATACAAGAAGGAGGAGTCGGAGTTCCTGCTGAAGTTCCTCTACGACCACATTGCGCTGTCTGCAGATATTCAGACACGGGTCCGCTGGCGTCCTGGCACTGTTGTTGTTTGGGATGTAAGTGCTTCCAAGCCCCTGGATCATGGAACACAAGATTGACAAGGCTAACTATTACAGAACCGTGTGGCCGCGCACAGTGCACTGTTCGACTGGGCGGATGGTCAGAGACGACACCTCGCCAGAATAACGCCACAGGCTGAAGCTCCTTACGAGACTCCTTTCGAAGGATAGATGATGTCGGACAATGAACAGCGATACATATGGCCAGAAGACCAGGCTACCATTTTCTCGAGAGATATAGTTAGCGGCATCATGAACAGACAGGACGAATATGACTTCTTTTGAATGATACATCTTACAATACCAACTAACCAATGAATTCTTCGCTCGGCTGCAACAGTGCTTGCACGACAGTTCCAGCGGTGGGGTTGGTGCTGAGATTAGCTGTATCCTCATGATGACACACTGGGACATAGGGTATTGAGCACTTCACGATTGTCTACTCCGGTATGACCAGCATTGTGTCGAACTTTATGACCTCGCGTAGACCACACACAACATCATTATTGAATCAACGCCGTGAGTCACCCACACCCTAGCCAGCGCATCAACTATCATCTTTGTTACTCCCATCTTCAATCTCTCAACACCTTCCAGTCTCGCACAACCATATCACTACCACCACCATTATTACCACCAATATCACTACCATAACCATCTTTACCATCTAAATTCTACCCTACAAACCCAAACATCACCACCACGATGTCCAACCAAGCTCCTCGAGCACCGAGGATCCACCCTCACGTGCCCCCAAGCCACCAACACGCTCTGGGCGGCCGAACCACCAAGCCCCCGATGAGCGACGAGGACACTGCCGTCGACACGCTTCGCACCGAGCTGGGTTCCCAGAACCTCCAGTTCGGCATCTTCAAGCAGCATATGACCAGCCAGCTCAACAGCTTGATCCAGCACAGCAGCACCTTGTTCGAGGCACACAGGAACCTTGAGCAGGAGAACAAGACCCTGCAACAGGCGAACAAGCTTCTCCGCAACGAGGTCGCCCGCCTCAGCAACGAAGCCACCCGCCAGCGAGCGGAGCTCGCCACCCTGCGCACCGAGATGCAGACGGCCGCCGTCGAGCGGCAGGAGGAGATCCTCCGGGCTGGCGCTACCGCGCAGCTCATGTTGTCTCAAGTCGAGGATCTTTGGACGGCGTTGACTTCCCTCGACCAGAAGCGTCGCGGTGAGTTTTTGGAGTGGTTGGATGGGATGGATGTGGAGTAGGTCTATTAGGGTAGAGCAACGAGGGGGGCGTGTAAGAGAAGGAAGGTACCACCATCATGGAGATATACGATATTATGCATAGCGGAGGGGTTAGTGGAAGGAGTTTTGGGGAGTAAATCATCAAGGGCATGAGTCTTCTCGAGAAGGGAGATGTGCGTGTTCTTTTTGGGTGTTGTGGAGTTTTAGGGTACGGTGTACGGTGTATCACTTTGCTTGCTTACTTATGGGGGTTGTGATGTTGTCTACTTGGGAATACTGCATTGCAATTCAGCTTACTTTTCTCGAGTCTGGTATGGTTTTGTAAATCCGTCCCGTCGCTTGCAGGTGGGAGTGACGCCTCCCTTGACTATGCCATGCTTAATTTCCTCGCGCCTTCCTGGGTATGTGGAGCAAGATGCTCATCCACCGAGTAACTATATCCTTCCTGTATACCACTCTCGTAGCCACATCCTCGCCAACCCCGTAGTATTTGAGGCGAGGCGCCTCTCCCCAATAAAAACAAAGAAAGATCTACTGGTATTATGCAAGCAGCAACAATCCCTTGTCCTCTCCACAAACCACAATCCCAAGTGAACCATCGCTTGAACACTAGGTCGAGATTCATGACCCTTGCTTCTCCCCAATCTCCGCTCAAGAACAGATGAGGCTTATGGCTAGCTAATACGTAAATCCCAGCTTTCATCTCACACGAACCCTGCCCCATCACAAAGCCATCGATGCGACTTCTGCTTGAATTTTGTTTGAGATGTGGCCGGGCTGTGTGATCTATGTCGTTATTACGTATGTCGACTCGCGCAATTCCGGGCTACTATGCAATTCTAATGTAGTGTTTGGTATAGCGGTATGCGATGTTCTCACGTCTTCATACATAAAAAAGAAAAGGAAAGAAATCCCGATGAGAACATGTACTGTACTATACCATAACGGGATCAAGCCGCTCAACTTCCACTGTGAAAATGATGCAAATAAGGGACCGTTTTGCGGAAACAGCTAATAAGGAAAAGACTGTATTCCAAATCAACTATAAGTGAGATATAAGTTTGGCAATTTGTAGTAACGAAGCGTCGAATGAAGCTGCTTCATATAATGCTCTAAACAGCCTGAATCTGGATATTATGTCAAAGTAGGAGGCTATACCTTCAACAGCTGGTCTCGTGGCGCAATGGTAGCGCATTAGTTTCCGGTACTAGAGGTTGTGCGTTCGAGTCGCACCGGGATCGTTTTTTGCCCACCTCGAGCCCGTCTCTTCCTTTTTCACGACAGGAGTAAACCACCTTGTATGTGTTTGCTATCGCTGCTTTTCTTTATGGCATACTCCGACAAGGCTCCGAAGACCCGAAGTATATGATCTGAAATCCAGTCAGGGCCCAGGGTTCATCTCAGACGAGGCTTATCGATCTATCTTCGGCCCCAACTTGCACACTCGTCCACCACACCAGTGTCGCACCTCTGCTTCATCTTTCAGCGGTCCAGCCCGTAAGCCCACTGATCCAGATGACAGGGAAGCCACTCCAAAATTATAGTATCGTTCGGAGGTGGTCCGAGGCCCAGGCCATAGCCCAGGCCATAGCCCAGACCTAGGACCGTGATCGGTGTTTAATCCCCGAAGACTTGCTTAACTCGACGGAGGGGGCTCTACAGCCCCCACTGTGAGGCCATCTGGCTTAGGTGATATTGATACATCAGGGTGCTCGCCGTAAGGGGAATTGGAGTCTCAGAGTAACGTAAGATACAGAGAAACATACATGGAACTGAACGGGGAGCCTCCAGCTCAAACCTGGACTAAGATAAGAGATAGCAGGAGTTGGTAATCTGTTGAAGTCTATCAAACTGGTAGAATGGGGGCGCAATAAAAGCAGCCTAACTCGATTCGGTGAAAGCAATGAACTCCCGCACACCCGTCTAGGAGAAAGAGTAGAAGGAAATAATATGGTTTTATAGGACCACACACAACATAGATTCGTATATACAAGAAGTAGTAAAGGTTTGTTGGCCCTGGAGTCTCGACAATCCAGAGAGGAAAATGTAGATGAAACAGAGATTGAGGATATGAGAAGCGTCGCAAAAGTGTACAGGAGGAAAAGAAACAAGAAATCGACCAAGGTCGAGAGAAGAACTTCGTGGCAGGAATAGATGCACGATCACCAGGAGCTCAGATAACAAGAACAGCTCGCGCACAACCTTGGCCAGCAAAGCAGGAGCGAGGCTGGTCCGTTTTGTCCCGAGGACAACGTGCCGAATGGGGAGGCAAGGCGCAAGAAACCTTGCATATGGAACCGAGTGAGATGGCGTCTTTTCCCACCAGAGCGTGTAAGTAAACCTTCATTTTCATCGTCCAACAGAGGGGTCATCTGTTTCAAGTGAATGACGGCCCTGGCTATGATACCGGTTTGTAGCCAGATTTACTTCTCCATTCAGTCTGTTTCCAATTTTGTTGGAAGGAGTCCATCTCTGTCCGCTCCGTGTTCCACTTGGCGTCGTCCAATGCGTGTTCGAGACGACCCTTCTTGCGCTGGCGCACGAAGAACAAAATGAATGCGGCGAGCAGCATGGCTCCGACCGCCGCAGAGCCAGCGTACACACCGATCTTGGCACTGGTGGGCAATTCAGCCCATTTCTGGGCCAGAGTCTTCTCCGGTTCCTTATTTAATTCCACGGCAGCCGTCGAATTACCCCTGGAGCTCCAGTGTTAGTAGTCCGTCAAGTAATATCTCAATAGCGAGGAGGACTTACGTTACAACCTTGATGCTCTCCCACGAGCCCGTATGGTTGGTATATTCGTACTCTTTGCCGGTGTGGAAGTCCTGTACGCGCACTTTCTGGACGACCATATTGTACGGACCAGCATCATAGTCGATCTCTCCGCCCGCCCACTCGATTGTTCCCAGAGGCTCGCTCGGGTCACCACCGGGCCAGATACCATAGCGGAGTGTGCAGGGGGTTTGCGGATAGTTCTTGCCATCCAATGCATCTTCGTACTTCAGCGTGCGCACCAATGTGCCGTCAATCCACCATTCCAGTTTTGCGGCATCCCAGTAGGTAGTGTAGTTGTGGAACTCGGTGTCGGCGTTGGGAACATAATGGAAGCCTCCGCGGTCAAAGGACGTATCGTTACCCTTGCCGAAGTAGTTGGACTGGACTGAGCTAGTGTTGTAGCCCACCCACTCCCAGTCGATCTCGTCCAGGTCATCGGACTCCAACACGATACTGCTAATCACACCGCCACCCTTGGCCATCTTGACCCATGACTCAACGACACCGAAGAAAATGTAGAAGGTCGACTTGATGGTGGGGGAGTCCAGCTTCTTAGCGATGGTGAAATTCGCGCCGGCGTCGGTGATGGCGATATGGCCGTTGGTGGTCTCCCAGATCTTGGAATCGAGCGTCTCGTTGAATTGCCATGAGAAAGTCGTGCCCAATGCGGGATCCGCCGGGCAGGTGGTGTTGAGGGGGTTGCATGTGGTTGAGGTCTGAGCAGCCACTAAGTAAATCTGGGCCACGATCAGGGCCAGGAGGTTAAAGAAAGACATAATGGACAGTCACGTCCTTTAGGATCACCACTCTCCAGATACTGAGAAATACGTTCCCCTCGTTTTGTCAACGATAGTATTCAAGGGAGCAGAGGCGAGTCAGGACAACTGCGGGTCACACACGCTTGCTTCCTGGCAAGATAAGGTGCGATAAAGGGGCGTTTTCTGGCAGTGCACCCGGGGGGACGAGTGTTTGAGATCAATTCCTCTAACGGTCCGTAAGGAGTGAGACCGATAGCGTGGGGATGAGGAAGAGAGAGAGAGGAAGATTCAGGTCTCAAAAGAATGGCAGTGCGATCGAGTCGCACGAGGAGGTTGAAAAGCACCCACAAGAAGGGATGAGAGGAAAGAGGGATAGAACTGATGCGGAGGAAGAACGGACGGAGGAGAGGGGAAGAAAAAGAGACATGACGGCGAGAGCATTTTCCTTTAATTTTACTAGATACTAGGTTGACCCCAACCACAATCACTAGTTTTTTTTAACCCTTCCTTTTTTTCCCCCTCGCTCTCTTTTCTTGTCCGATCATAATAGTTAGAACTATGAGTTATTCTTTTTTTAAATCGGAGTTGGAGACACGGACAAGGTGCATGTCTCGCATACAAGCTGCGAGTCTGCAGTCAATGTCACTAGTTTTTGGCCCTAATCTTTTCAGGGGCTGCTCCAAACAGGAAACCACCCGACTCATGAAGGGAGACTAGTCCTGAAACAGCCTGGTATGCCACAAATCTACCCTGGTTCGGCTGGCTAGCGTGGTCCCTGGCCCTGAATTTAGTCCTAATATAGCCTAGTGCTGTCCCCACGACCACTGAAGGGCTCGGATTGTTCCATGGACCAACATGATTGGGTCGAATAAGGCCGAGGATAGATCCGTACACCAATCAGGGTTCTGCCTCAGGGGAACAAGGGGTTCACTTTCAAACACCCGACAAACTACTAACAGCAACTCGGGGATGAGTCCACAGTGCCCTGAGAGCTGCTGGCTGGGAAAGGGAAGATTTCAAGCTGGTTAAAATGATAAATGCACCGGTAAAGCAGCTTTAAAGGAGTTGATTGAGGGATCATCGACCAGGAATGATACTTATGTATGAGTAGGTATCCATGATGAAGCTATGAGTGCTCCTTACTACCCACAAAGAGCCAATGGCACCGCCACTCTTGGGTTGCTTTATGTATCGTACCTGCAGCCACTGCCGAACTCCTCTGCAATTGCCCATCGAATGACCTTGCGTTCCACCCACCCACCTTGAGGCACATATACTCCACGGTCTCCGAGGGACAATCAACCAAACAAGCACAGCTAAAGGCATAAATTTTCACTCTTCCAGACTAGTTCTGGCACCGCCTGGTGAAGATCCATTCTTGGTCCCAGCACAGCACAGAGGGTCAGTGCCGTGGCAGTTCACTTGAGTTTGCTGATTGGCTGGTGGCAAGTCGTGTAGAGTAGGTAGGTTTGCGGCAAACTTAGTCTTACCAACAGATAACCTATCGGGATTGTAATGCCGTGAGGGGAGAAAAGGGGGCGCAACAAGGGTAGAATTGTCAACATTGTTTGAAATTGTATTTTGCATCCGCACAAACATGCAATTCCCCCACCACCTCTCAACTCTCCGCAGCCAACGGTTTGCGCGAGTCTCCCAGAGCCAAGGTAAGGGAGCACAACTGCAGATAGATCCGAAACATGGAAAGGTCATGTAGCCGGAATCGTGCCAAGCCATGTCTGCTACTCTGTATGAAGGTCTCTGCAGATTTTACGATGGACAATGATTGACAGCTCAATCTATTAATGTCACTGCCTACAGCTGAGTATATTAGATGCGACTTCGACACGAACATGCTCGGCGCTGGTCAGTCTAATTTCCAGTATCGGTTCACCCCACTTTCGCAGATAGGCAGATAGACATTGCATAATGACCAAGAAGGATAAAAATGGAAAGGATGGAACCGTTCCCACTTCGCAAGAGAACCAAGAGCACTACAGTTCTGCAGATCAACTGTCTCATGATCTTTCATGGTGAAAATCGTCAAATAATTGTAACCGGCTGCTAAAGGTTCGTGGCCTGCCGCCACTCGGCCAAATAGCTGTTATATGCGTATATGAATCATCGATCAATCAATCAATCAATCAATCATCCGATCATGATCATAAGTCTTTCGTGTCGGACAGTTTATAATATGATTCATTCAGGGTATTATTATAGCATAAAGGTCATATCGACATGTACATACATCGTAACCATACGTGATTCGAAAATCGACAAACACATTAACCGACCCCGCCCCCCCCCCCCCAGCTTCCCCTACTTCCATCCTTCTATCCCTCCCAATACCTTCCATTCCTCATCCACACGCTATCAATTGAGATAGACTTTCGCTGGCCTCCTTACCGAACTCCTCGGTTTCTCCACATAGTAGTATGACGGGCTCCGTCGCTGCCGGTGGCGATGGCGCGCTCGGTTGGTAGGCAAATTGGTCTCCCCATAGTCGGGCTCGCTCTCCATCTCATGATTCATGGCACAAAGCTTCCAGAGCCAGAGGAGCAGCAGGGTTCCTGCCATCGTCCCTAGGACGATACCTGCGATGCCACCCCCGGAGATGGAATTGGGGCAATTGGAGTCATCCCGACTCTGGAGAAGGTGGATTGGCGCCTGAGGGAAGGGAGAAAAAATCAGGTGTCAATTTCCTCATTTCTTTCACGGAAGACTCGGACTCGGCCCGCCCGCGCGAACAGATCCACGGAACAACGAGACTCGACTTACCATGGGTGTGGTGGTTGGTTTCAATGTACTACTGTACGGAGTACCGTGCTGCACAATTGATATCAGAAATCAATCTCTTTGTGGTCCCCTCAATGCAAGTACAACCGAAAGAAAGTCGACTAACAGGGAAAATAAGAAGAGGGGGTGGGATTGGAACCATATATTATCATCATCATCTTTTTCTCTTCAACTTCTTGTCCATACTTTCCCGCAGCGGCTGGGGCTGGTGTTCCCATTGACGTCAACCGTACGTCTTTTGCCTTGGATCCCCTCTTACACAAACCCCCCTCCCCTCCTCTCACAAACTTCGGCTTGGCTTTCTGATCTTGATGAGCGGATGGCTTTTCCTTCCGGGCGCCTGCCAATAGAATCAATGGATCAATTGTAAGCATTGCGCACTGCGAAGTGTCTTGCGCGCATGGATGAGCTTACGTTTTCACGTGTCGGGTGTGGGTGGGGATACCGCGGGATACCTCGCTTCGCGTTACTGGTCCAACTACCGACTAATTGCTACATAGGAAACTCATATGTAATGCCAGGTGCTTTGAGCCTTGTTTTTGAGGACTGACTTGCATGAAAATCGCGCAGACGGATGGGCTTGGATCTCGTTCTTTCTTTTGTGGTTTCCCCGCATCTGTGGAAAAGTGGACTTCAAGCCGGTGTCGTTGAGATGCTAGAGTAGACTACAATCTCTGTGTGTATGCTACGCTCTCGATGTAATTATGCGTTGCACAGTCTTGGTTCTAGAACAGATCGATTGTCTATTTCGAGTCCGGATTCATTAAAGCAATGGGAGGCTAGTGGTTTACTATCATTTCGGGAGTCTATCCTGGACCCCACTTAGCGATAACAAAACACTTTACCAGGCGCGCCAGCAATCCCTAGTCAATGCTTGTGGTTGATGTCTTTTCTACGGTGCACGAAATGACATGGCTTGGGTGCGCTCCAAAAATAGTACCAACACGAACTCTGGTATGTGGCTTGTGAGGTGACCGATGCAGAGGAAACTGGCTCACAATCTCCTATGTCCCGGGGAAGGGGGCACACTGCCGGTCTCCCAAGCCGTCATGTTGGGCCCCAGCTCGAACTCGATCGTGCCCCCACGTGCCATGAGATCCTCGTGCTCGAACCAGTTCTTCGTCCAGGCCTGTCCGTTGATCCTCACGCTTTGCACATAATAGCCCTGGTCCAGGCCATTCGCGATAATCCGAAGCGTCTGGTTGCCGTTGATGGTCATGTTGAGATCCGGGAACCAGGGCGAGGCAATCAGGTACACTGGCTGGGTGACCACCGGGTAGATACCCAGCATCTGCCACAAAAGCCATGAATTCATTGCCCCTGCATCACTGTTGCCGGGGACTCCGTAGAGTGCGTCGTTGAAACTACATGGATGTTTGATTAATCGTACTCTTTGGAATATCTCATTCCGTGGTACTCACTATTGGTATCCGAGGCCCCTCGATCTCTGAACACTTTTTGCTTGCTTGTTGATGTAATTGTACAGGTAAGGCGTGGCGAAGTCAGGCTCGTTACTTAACCACGGTCATTAGTCCCACTTTGTTGTCAATTCACAAAGGGGTGTGTACCCTATGTTGATGATTGTCGTGATTCCAGCTCCATTCGGTCCGAGGCTTTGAACGGACATATTTGGCGCAAACTTCTCAGTTAGCTAGGGTCCTCCTGCAGCGGGGAAATCTTACCATTAGATCAAGTCGGGATTCGAACGTGTCCACGCCTCCCATTAGATCAACCAGGGTCTCCATGTCATGGGGAATGACGAAAGAGTATTCTAGACGTTCGGTGCGTGAGTAGACGTTCTATCATACCATGGATGTCACTCACCCCAAGGCACGGCTTCATACGTATAGTCCAGCCACTCGCACTTGTCACAGTAGCGGGGATCATATGTGCTGCTGTTGAACGTGCCGTATGAGAACCTAGGTGCCAGAAATCCTGTGAGGTTCAGACTAGAAACATCCGAATTCCATATATTCTGCCATCCAGCGGACCGATTCAGATACTTTTCCTGGTCACTAGGCATCTCTCCCGAGGCGACTTGGCTCAGCGCAAAATCATTTAGGCTGTACTCAACGGTTCTGGATATACATCTTGTGTTACGATCTTGTGAGACATATCCAAGCTCGAGCCAATCGCCCAGGGCGCCGCGCCCCTCTTTGGTGCTGGCTGAGGGGTCTGTGGGGTCCCATGTGTTGTATGGGATCACCTCCGCGTCGGTCTTCATGGCGGCATAGCCGTCGGTCCAGTTGATCGCCCCGCGGAGGCCCTTGATGTAGGCATCCGCTAACACGTTATCGGCATTGGAGCCGCCTTGGACCAGTCCATTCCAGTTTCCTGAGCGTCCATCTGGCAGGAAACCTTGGTGTCTTCAGGACGAAGAAAAATATTAGTATCACTCTTCCTTGGCCCTGCTCATATCCATGGATCATACCTCCATATATCGATCAGACCCCGAATCATAGACTCATAGTAGTCAGGTTGATATATATGGTAGAAACTAATCGTGCAGCGAAAAATGTCCCCTAATCGTATACATCAACAACAGTATTTGAATAAATTGTCCTTCATACTGACACATTGTATAAAAGTCGTCCCAGAATGGCTCATCCGACTGCCAGAGAGGATTCTCGCCAGTCCGATCGGACGGCATCAGATGCATAAAGTAGAGAGAACTGTAGAGCAGCCGCACATGCGTCATATTCGCTGTTCCGTCCAATGCAATCCGAGTCTTGCTGAAAACATCTTGGTTCCATTCTTCCACAGCCGACTGCACCGTGTCATTCAAGTCCCAGGATGGAATCTCTGATTCAATGTAGGCACGGGCCTTTTCTTCGGAGATGAAGGATACACCAACCCTGGAAATAATTTGAGCGCTTGAGGTAGTGTTCCAACTGAAGAGCGCCCCGACGCGATCATTCATGGGTCCTGATGTGGCTTGCTTATCAGTCAAATTACCGTATACTGGCTGACTGCTGCCACCGTTGGCGAAGCTCTGATAACGCGGCATCGGCTCGGTATTCTTCCCTGCGAAGGTGCGAGCTGTCTCTGCGGCTATAGAAAATTCTCCGTAGAAGTAGACTGTGAATGGCGCGCCTGGTACCCAATCAGGCTCTCCGAAGATTATAGTATTGTCGCAGGCTGACACTCACCGTTGTTCCAGCCACCCATAAACGTCCCATAGCCAGTGTAAGCCCGTCCCTCATCCTTCAATTGAATTTCGCCGGCAACGTAGAATTGACCATTGGGATCATTGGGTGACCCGGGAAGATACTTAGGTAAATGTTAGCGCTGCAGCACCTCGAAGCTACAGGCATTGTAGATGTCATACATGAGAAAGATCGACCAGTACATGCTTTTCGCCCTCGGGGAAGCTATACTGGATGATTCCAGCATGGCGAGAGGCCGAGAGCTCGACCTGAACGCCGTTCTGCAATCTCGTTGCAAAGTAGCCCACGCTGGCTGTATCATTACCGATCTACAGAGATTATGAGTCCAGGTCGATGAGTTTCGTTTCTCTCGGGCAGCATACCCTAGGCTGGGAGTAGGTCAAATTATCGAGCAGATTCACCGGGGGCGCAACATCTGTGAGCGGCATCTGGGGAATTATTCCATATTTTGGTGCACCTCCAGTACCACTTTCATGCATCATGGCTGGGTAAATTGGGAACTGCTAGTCAACAATCGAGGACCGTTGATTGAGTGGTCACGTTCACCTACTGATCGCCGTAACATTTCCATCTGGCGTCCAACCCCCATTGAGGACCGCCAGGCTCCAGTTTGCAGCCGTAGTGTCGATACCTACCTTTGCCACGCCGAAAGGCCGCGCTCCCCCCACGAAGATATCGCCTCCTCCATAGCCTTTGCCTGGAAAGGGTCCTTCTGAACCCATCAGGGCATTCACATACTGGGAGTAATCTTCCTGGATAGAAGCAATCGCCGGTACCAGGACAGATAGCAAAGCTAACAAGCAATGGCAGGTGGGTAAGTAAAGTGACTGCATACTGGGTATACTGAGTAGCTTCCAGAGGATTCTGGAGATAATGAATATGGGGCAGGAAAGAGGGGAAATTCACTGGGGTAGAAGAAGAGCTGCCCTCCAGTTATATCCCCCGCTGGGGAGGGGAATGCAGGCGATCTACGCGGAAATACTTGCATTTTATCCCTGCGACTGACCACTGATATCAAGATGATGCTTGCTTGATTTAGACTGGCACAGTCGGAATGAAGAGCGAAAGTGGTCGTGTTGTGTTTTCTTCCCCGCATTTTGATTAGTGAAGCAAGGATTCAATATTTGACTGACACACACACACACACACACACACGCACATATCAAGCTTTGTTCACCTTCTGGGCTCTTCCCCAGTATCTATAATCATACTGGAGCATTTGGAAGTTCTCGTGGTCATTTGTACTGCTGCTCTCGAAATTATATTCCGCCTCGAAGGACTTCACCCCTTGTGAAGGAAAAGACGATGTTACTTGCTTACATATGCTCGACCAGATGACATACTGTCTTAGCCCAAGCCCCACAAGCTGAGTCTAAGGCGTGAAGTTTTGGACTCCATACTCAATGCTTAACTCGAGAAACTATTTACTTGCCTATATAGGTAGTTACTTGCCTATAGGTAGTTACTTGGTTGGTTTGAGCGGATGACTAAGCTAATCACGGCTGCTGCCTTCCCAGCCGGGATCAAATCCGAATCTCGTCCCCCTTTCGCAAACTGGTCTTCATGATCTTTAATCATCTCAGCATGACTATGTAGAACTTGAATCTTTTCAGTAGCCGCCATGTTTCAGTGCTCTCATTGCGACAAGTCCTACCAAAGAAAGAGTCACCTGCTTCGGCATGAGGCGACGCGTACGCACTGCTCTCCCCCCTCAAGAGCCGGGGAACTCCGAAGCATGGAGGCTAACAAGTCCAGATACTACTGAATCTTTCTCTTCAATATGTCCCATTTGCAATAAGGCCTTTCAGAAGCAGTGAGCGCTCATTCTTGCCGAGCCCCCTTTCCATCGGTGGGTTATGTCTGACAGGGTTCAGGGAGGTCGCTCGACGACATAGTAAGATATGTGCAAGGAAGTACAATAGACCCCCACCGCCAGCGTCTAAGCCTGGCCGGAAGAAACGCTCCTGTGATGAGTGTACCCATGCCAAAACAGCCTGCGACAAGAACTCACCATGTTCTCGCTGTAAAGCCCTGGGTCGGCAGTGTTCTTTCGGAAGTGTGACGTCTTCGCCTACAACTCTCTGCTTGGCATTTGTCCCACCTTCACTAGCATCCTCGCACAGTTCACTCGCAAGCAAGAGGTCGTTTTTCTTTCTCTCACACTTTACTGATCCAGCTGTGGTGAAGGACAAGCTTGCAATCGCAGAGACAGCAAAAAGCTCTACCAAAAGGAACCTCGATGCCCTCCATCTAAACCTCGAAGATGCACTCAGCCCGTTCTACGCTATGCAGTCATTTATGAGCTCTTCTGCAGCTGCAGATATGTTCTTTCAGCCTTCTTTCCTAGCAAACCAGTATCCCGTCCTGGATCTCCCCTCTGAAGGCGCCTTGACTTCGGGGCTCGCCAGGCAATTGAATGACTTGATGGTAGAGCTGGTGGAAACATCAAACTCTATGGGCCCTGATAGCGAAGGCTTGAATAAACCCCTTAATATCTCTGGCTTAATTCCGCTATTTACAACTTCCAATCTTTCAATTTTCATCTCGGCTTACTTTCAATCCCTTCACTGGCATCTGCCGATCGTACATTTCCCAACATTTGACCCAGGAAATGTGTCAAACTCTCTCCTCATCTCAATCTTTCTGGCCGGAGCAATCTACACGACTTCTGAAGACGGGTCTGTCGTGCCACCTAGGCTACTCGACGTAGCCGAGGAGTATATCTTTCGACGTGTGGCAAGTCTGTCGACAGCATCAATCCATACCAGCCAGCTCTCTCAATTGTATCCAGTACTTGAAATTGTTCAAGCGGCCCTGATAATTGAGATGCTTCAATTTGGACAGGGAGGCATGCAAACGAGACGGCGCATTCGGATCATAAGACACCCGTGTGTTATCTCCTTGATACGATCAATAGGCATTTTCCACTACAAACGGAGTACAGCTCCTCAAATTTGCGATGAGCTCACTTGGAGGAATCTCATAGCGGAGGAGGTCCTTATACGGTGAGTACATATAATATCGGTCACTGTCAAAGACATTTATTGAGACACTGTCAGGGTTTCCTGTTGGGCTTTCCTCGCGGACGGATTTCTCACGGTCTGTTTTAACAACCATCCTGCATTGTCTATCTTCGAGTTGGATTGTGACTTTCCCTGGGACTCTACACTGTTCGAGGCCGAAAGTACATCTGCATTTAATGAGCTTGTAGCTTCGACTGATGGAGCACAGCCCCCACTTCCAACAATAAGACAGTTTATCACCCGTCTACTCGACACGGATATCGGAGATTTGGTCACATGGAGCCGGTCACTTGCAGCAGAACACCTGCTACTGTTGATGTACGGTATGTGTAATGCCTGGTTGGCCCCTTGAGATGACAGCCTCGCTAATAAAAAGTGGGATCAGCGATGCACTCCCTGGCATTCCAGGCAAGGACCGGCTTACTCGGATGGATCTCACCAAACGCTATCAAGCTCGCTGCGGATAATTGGAAACGAATCTGGGATTCAAGTGGTGACATTGTTGACAAAGAGAAGACACAGAGTCTTGGTTATCCCAAACATGCAGAAGAGCTTTGGTGGCTTCTAAATGCTACGCTCGACCGAACCGCTGGCCGGGACAGGAGTCTTCGCTACCTAGACACCGCAGCTACTGACGACTTGGGCAAGCTGAACGAGTTCATTCATAATGTTGCGGCGGAAGAAGGAACACCTTGATTAAGTAACGGTGTTCATATTAATTATTACAGTACTCATATCATACGTCTATGTACAGCATACAACAAAGCCAACACGTGCCGGAAACGCCTCGATGGTTTGCAATCCAGCTCCTTTAGACCATCTATGCGAGATCATTCCTCTTACTCGTTCTTGTGCTTCAATTCGTCGCCCTTGGCTTTGCGATATGTGCCACCCAAGCGGTCCCAGAACGTGGTGAATTGCCCATAATTATAGTTGAAGTACAGATGATGCAGCGTATGACACTCGGGTCCGTTGATCACTGCAGAACGCGAGAGGCATTCGGCATCGTCTAATCGGGTTGTCAGTTGTGATCGTGGCAGTTAACAACAAGGGAAGAGGGGGGCGTACGGATTGCGAGGGTCCACATAGTTACGAAGACAAACAGTCCCAGGTAAGCGCACTTCTGCAGAGGGAACAGCATTGGGAAGATGTGGTAGGGCAGACTCTGGGCCCAGCCATCGAAAGGGTTGAACGCATAGCTGGCGTACGGTGTCGGCACGACCCACTTGTGATGCTTCTTGTGCAAGAAACGATAGACGGAAGGATGGTGCTCCCATCTGTGGATCCAGTAAATTCCCGTGTCCGTGAAGAAGATGAAAAGCGGGTATTGAAGATACGAATATCCAGGGAAGGGCTCCTGGTTCGCGAAGTCATATAGCTTGGACCATCCACGGATTTCCAGCAGGAAGAAAGGAACAGTGAGGATGGACATGACAGGCATGGCAAATAGTCCCTGCTTGATCTCCTGTCGGATCTGCTGGTGTAGGATTCGTGGATGCTTCATCAGAGACTTGTCGAAAACAGTGTGGTACAGGATCGTGCTGCCAATGAGGTACATGAGAACACCGAATATCCTTCATGAACATCTTAGTTAGCTACTGTGTACGATGAAGCCTAAGTAGAGAACAACATACCACATGGTGAAGAATAACGACAGGGCCTGTCTCGGGAGATGGTCACGCTTCCACCGGCTCGCATTGGCATACTGGGACGCTTGCAGTGGATAGTAAAGGCTAATGTGCTGGTTGTAAGGGAATTGAGTCTCCATGGTCGCATTGCCCGGATACATCTCATAACTCGGAAGCACTGAGGCATAGACCCGATCGAAGACGAAAGTGTCGAGGATGTCAAGCAGGACGTCCATACTGGCGATTGTTGTTGTCGTTGTGCTTGGTCGAGTTTAGGGCTGGCTCATACCAGACAGGGTGGATGGTGCGGTGCTGTTGCTTTATAGGACGAATCAGTCAAATCTCGTTCCTTGCAGGTAGTAATATTGAGTTTGGGCACATGGGAGAGCTCCTGCAGGATAGGCTATGAGTTTTAAGTTACTCTTGATTTATATACGGGGTTTACCTACCTGGTACTCTTCGGCAATTCCCTACGCGGCGATTCCCTACCGCGGGAATTCCCTACCACGGGAGCCCGGGTATTCCAGTCAGACCACTGATTAAGGGGCGACGAACGGTGGCGTGGTGATGATATGTTTTTTATCCCATGGTTACTGGTGGGTTATATGTGATAGCCAGCCATTGATGGTAAAAGGGGTGTCTACTCTGAGTCCTACCGCACAAAGTACTACTGCATTGTTCACAGGCGGTTACCGAGCAGGCCCTTGTTGACCTGTATTTATATGTTATTCCCAAGTGCCGCCTACCTCACTACAACCACCTTAACTGTGCCTTAATAGCCTTAAGCAGCACTACGATTGATTGAACAGTCATGGAGCCAAATATGTGAGATGGCCCAGGCAAATAGTCTATTGTCTTTACTGAAGCTATAGTGATAGGTACAATGTGCATTGCTTACATCTTGTATCACGCATCTAGCCGAATCATCACGTATACCAAATGGCAAGATGGCCGAGTGGTCTAAGGCGCTAGTTTTAGGAACTTCCGAAACACTAGTTCGAAAGAGCGTGGGTTCGAATCCCACTCTTGTCAAGAACTTTTTGTCCGTGTTCATTGAACACAATGCTGTTGTTTCAATCGCTTTTTGCCAATCGTTCTTTTTTTTTTTGGCCTTTCTGAAGCACCACGTAGCCGGCTCAGCGTCATGTCGTGCCTTCTATGTCATATGTTACAGTCATCAAAGGGTCATGGTTGTACAGCGCATATGCTTGCTTATTCGGAGAAACTATCCGCTCTCGGTGTCTTTCCGAAGGCATGCCCGCCGCACAGCGAGACAATCACGAAAAACCCACCAAAAACCGACAGGCAGAGGGAAGCCACACCAGCCAGGCCAGATTCAATCCCGCGCTTTCCACATTCTCATACCCCTCTCCAACTCCACCTTCTTCACCCCCTTCCTCCCACCTCTATCCTCCCCCCAAAAGCCTCTGTATCGTCAAAATGGGTGTCACCTTCGACAAGTGCGAGACCCGCCCGGCCAACATCGATGCCATCCTCAACGGCCTCGACCGATACAACCCGGAGACGACCACGGTATTCCAGGACTACGTCGCCCAGCAGTGCGAGGACCGCACCTTCGATTGCTATGCCAACCTGGCCCTGCTGAAGCTGTGAGTGTCTGTCCCTTCTTTGCCCATGCGCCTATTATCCTACACACTGCACCTCCTTCCCGAGAACCAAGCGCTCCGACGCGGGGAAAAGAATAAATGGTTTTTATATGATGAAGAAAATCTCATTTACAATCACGTTTCCTATTACCTGACACCCTATCATGGGGCATGTCGAGATCTCAATGCTCCTGAAAATGAAAGCCATCCAAGCTTCTACTCATCGCACACTGCATCGCTTAAGTTTTGACGGTAGCTAACACGTTCCTCGAATTGTCTTTGATTCCAACAGCTACCAGTTCAACCCCCACCTTCTCCAGCCCGAGACCGTCACCAACATCCTCGTCAAGGCTCTCACCGTCTTCCCTTCTCCCGCTTTCTCCCTCTGCCTTGCTCTGCTCCCCGCCCACACCCAGCCCTTCCAGTCCTCCAACCCCGAAGCCCAAGCCGCCGCCCAGACCTCCGACTTCGTTGAGTCCGTCCAGAAGCTCGCTCGTCTGTCTACCCTCCTGGAGTCTGCCCAGTACGCCCAGTTCTGGTCCACCTTGAACTCCGACGACCTGTACGCCGATTTGGTTGCCGACGTCGCTGGATTCGAGGAGCTTGTCCGCATCCGCATCGCCGTCGAGGTCGGCAAGGCCTTCCGTGAGGTCAACGCCGAGGTTCTGGAGCAGTGGCTGGACCTCCGCAGCCGTGAGGCCCTCGAGAAGTTCGTCGCCGAGGTCTGCAGCTGGGAGGTCGACGGTGCCGTCATCAAGGTGCCCACCAACAAGGAGAACGAGGCCCGCAGCGAGGTCAAGAGCGAGCGTGTGGGTGTGGATATGTTCGGTCGTGTCATCCGCAGAGGTTTCGAGCAGGCCGCATGAGCGGAAAGTCCTCAAATATCATTATTTCCAGGATTTGCATCGGATTCCCCGCCTTTTGAACCAACCAAAATCGCAACCTTGACGTCTTGTTCAAATCTCGTTTCTCTTTCGGACCGCTTCTTCCACCCTTCACATTCTTGCTAATACTTTTTTTTTACTTATGTTTCTCCTTGTGCCTTGAAGTTGATCCCGGGCTCTCGATCTAGCCCCGTTGATCATTTTCAACGTCTCATTTCTTCTCTCACTTTTCCTCTGTTCCATCTGTGAAAGGTGTACCGAGAGGAAAGAAGGAAGAAGGAAAAACCGGGACAGGCATGAACCGAACTTCACCTATGACTTATGAGTCATGAAGCTCCCAAATAAGATGACGATGAAACCCATGGGAAAGAAAAACGGAGAGGGTTAGACCAACATGTAGGGATTAGAAAGAGACGGGGGGACTGGGAAGTCAGGAACCTGGCGCAATCGGCGTTTCGAGTTTTGGTTCGCTGCTTCGCGTGTGTTGATTACCATCTTCGTCATCTACATCTAGATGAATATGTCTCGCCTGCTGCAACGGTGCCTTTCCATGCTCTCAGTTCTTACCCCCAAGATATCCTTTTTATTCTATTGTAAAGCAGAAGGAACAAGAGGGCGAGGAAAACAAAAGGAAATCATTTCAAAAATCAAACAAATGTAATTCAGTAGCATTGTCTGTCGCACTGCCTTAATAATCAGTGGACTGTGGATGCATGTATGATTAAATAAACTTTTGAATTTCCAATGAGGCCTAAAACGCTCAATGGCGTCTATGAACATGGTAGAGTATGTATGTATGTATAAATGGTCATCATCAACATCAAATTATTCATGGGTAAAGCGTTGGGAGGTAGGTTCTGATTTTAGACCTTACACCCTTATTGTCTTTTTTCCCCATTGTGGAAGGGGATGCAAAAAAGAGTAGAGCGGAATCAATCGGTCAATCAATCATTTCGCCGCCTCCTCCCACTGCACACCGGCCCACTCCTCACGATAGCCCACGACCCCGACCTCCTTCGGTCCACAATCCCGGCCACACACGGCCAGCATGATCGTGCCCCACTCCATGCCGGCGTCCCCGAGACCGACGCCCTCCCGGCCGTCCTCGAGCACACTGATGGCGTGCGGGACGAGCTGGAACTCGAACACGCGCTCGCTGCCGCAGTACTCGCAGCGCGGGATGCGGCTGGAGACGGACGGGCCCTGGCCCCCCGTCGTCGTCGTGGTGGCGATGTGCACGTTGGCGGGCTTGTGCGCCAGGACCTCGTGCAAGCGCTTACCGATGGCGTCCGTGTGCGAGTAGAGCAAGGGGTTGCCGCGGAACTGGTACCGGAGGATCTGCTCCGGGTTGTGGCCCAAACGGGTGGAGAAGCGCATGAAGGCCTTGTCCAGTTCGGACTCGAAGGCGTCCTTGAGGTCGGCGCCCCCGCCGCCGCTGCCGGTGTCCTCGCTGTTGTCGATCGTCACGTTGTCTGGGATCGTGGGCGTCGAGGGTCGCGAGAGGGTCTCGTACTCGGCATCGAGGTAGAACCGCGGGTACGGGGCGGGAAAGTCGGATTCGGCAGGCCACGGGGTGACGGGGCCGGAGGTCTCCTCGGGGGGTGTGATGGTCTTAAATGATGCGGCGGGCGGTGGGGGTGGGGAGGAGACGCGGACTTTGTCGGCGAAGGAGTCGGAGAGAGTGTTGGCGGTCGTCGATGCTGGGGTGGATGTTTTGGCGACTAGACCTGGAGATGGGGCGGGTGCGGCGAACGGGTTGGTGTTGGTGTTGTTGCTGCCGCTGGAGAACGGGTTGCTACTTGCACCAGCTCCGCCGGAGGAGAAAGGGTTGGCGTTGGCGGAAACACTGCCTATCAGGGAGGAGGATCCGAATAGACTTGCGCCGAGATCCGGTTTAGGAGCCTCGTTCTTCGTCTTCTCCTCTTCCTTGGGGGCATCGGTTGGGATATCCACTTCTTCTTGTTCTTTTGCGGCTCGAGGCTGTTCGCTCTTCAGCTTGCGGGTAGCGCGCAGAGCTCTGATACTGCCGGGTTTGCGGTTGCAGGGTTTTCTGGGACAGGCGAAGATGTACAGACGTCGCTCGTCGTCGGGGAAGTCGTCAGGGAGATCACCGTGCAGTTCGAGGAGGAGAAGCATGGGCGAGTTGCAGACTTTGCATTTGGCGAATTCCCCCGGAGGCGGGGTAGCGTCGTCGAGCCAGGTCTGGGGCAATGAGACTAGTCAGTGAACTTCTTCTTTCGATGAATTTATGTGAAGCGGTGTCATAGGAGATGTACCGGAGTTCCACCAAGGTGACTGATTGAGTCTTCTAGAATCTCGTCTGCTGCGTAACCCAAGAGCACGCCGGTCTCGGTGAAGTCCCCCTCATCGTCGAAAGATGAGTCGCTGTCATAAGGGTCCATGATCTGTGGGGTCAGGTCGGCCAAATGTAGCAATATCTGAATAAGATGATATGCGCGGTCGTAGCGAGTATGTGCAATTGGCTTCGAGCACAATGCAATGGATCGAATGTCCTGTACGAGGCAAATGAGCGATGCGATGATTTTTGGGCAGCTGGGAAAAAAAAGCCGGTAGAAAAGCGATAAGCGATAGAGGCCCGGCCCCAGGAACCTTAGCCTAATCTGGACTAGCGCCATTGATATGGCTCGATGCATCACCGACGGAGTAACTTGGGTACAGCTTAACTACAGCCTACCTCTTCTGATTCTCTCAATCCGTCTTTCTGTCACTGTCAGATGTCTCTCATCACTTCTGTTCGCGTATAATATTCTGCTGAGTTTGGCTGTGTCTGTTACTGAGTAGAAAAGTGCATATCTCTGTCTGCCCTCGAAGCGTCACAATATCATCCTCGAGGGATTTGGTCCCCTTGTGCAAGCACGGAACCCATCTCTACTCTAATCCATTTAAGAACCTTGCTATCATGAATTCCTATCCTAAGCGTCCATCCTTTGTTTACCTCCTATATACTCAGCTTATATGCTATCTCTTCATTCTATGCTTCATTCCTGGCAGCAATGCCGCTAAACAGCAATTCTTGAGCTCGTTCGGAGAGATAGCTCCCAAGAAAGTCGCGGTCATCGGTAACTACTACCATACTCCATTGCAATCCAAGCTTTGATGACTGACATCCTAGACAGGAGCTGGAGCTGCAGGATCGTCAGCTGCCTATTCTCTCCGCAAATACGCTGATGCCCAACATGTCCCTGTCAACATCACTGTCTTCGAGCGCTCTTCGTATGTTGGAGGCCGCTCCACCACGGTCAATGTCTTCGACCACCCGGCCTACCCGATTGAACTGGGGGCCTCGATCTTTGTCAGCGTCAACTACAATCTGGTGAATGCATCCAGAGACCTGGGCTTGAACGCCCGGAGCGCCAGCTATGAGCGACCCCGCGAGACCGACGACACGATCGGCATCTGGGACGGGGACCAGATGGTGTTCGTGTTCAAAGACACATCTGGCTGGTGGAACCTTGCCAAATTGCTTTGGCGATACGGATTGGCACCAGTCAACGCCTACCGACTGATGAAGTCGACCGTCAACAAGTTCCTGCAACTCTACGACGGACCCATGTTCCCGTTCCGGTCCCTCACCCAAGCCACCGAGGCCATTGGGCTCCTGAATACCGTCGCCGTGCCCGGGTTGGAGTTCCTGCGACTCAACCGCATCTCCGATCTCTTCTCCCGCGAGATCGTCCAAGCCAGCACGCGCGTCAACTACGGACAGAACCTAGGCCTCATCCACGGCCTCGAGACGATGGTCTGCCTCGCCACCGACGGCGCCATGGCCATTGAAGGCGGCAACTGGCAGATCTTCGACGGCATGCTCAAGGCCGCCGGGGCCGACGTGCGTGTGAATCACACCGTCACATCCATCAACTGGGACGCCCAAGGCCCGCAACACCGTCCCACTAGCCTCACATTCAAGGCCAGCAGCACCTCTTCTTCAGCTCAGACCGAAGGAGAAGAATTCGATGAAATCGTCATCGCCGCCCCCTTCCAGTTCACCGACATCACTACTACCCTACCCCTCCAGAGCACCCCCGACGATGTCCCCTTCGTAAAACTGCACGTAACTCTCTTCTCCTCCCCGCACCGTCTCTCGCCGGCCCACTTCAACCTCCCCGGCCCCAACGCCCCAGAAACCATCCTAACCACCCTCCCCCACGACCTCGACCCTACCGTAGGCAAAGCCGAAAAGGGCGTCGGCCCCGCCGACTTCTGGAGCATCAGTACCCTCCGCACCGTGGTTCCTCCTCCTTCGGAATCCGAAGACGACCAACCACAGCAGGTGCAACAGCACTACGTCTATAAGATCTTCTCCCCCGAACGCCCTACCGCCTCCTTCCTCCGCTCGATCCTCGGGCTCGCGGACACACCAAAGGGCCAGGGGATGAAGGAGAATGTCACCGCCGCGTCCATCGAAGACCTCCCAAAGCAGGACATCAGTTGGTTCCATGAAAAGGTCTGGCGGCCTTATCCGTTCGTCTATCCGCGAGTGACCTTCGAGGAAATCGCGCTGGCGCCCCACGTATGGTATACCGGGGGCATTGAGAATTTCATCTCGACGATGGAGACGAGTGCGTTGATGGGGAAGAATGTGGCGGCTTTGATGGTGAAGGAGTGGGAGGAACAGAGGGATAAGGCCGAGGCGGCGATGGGGTCAATGGGTTTCAGCCAGTTTGAAGATGGGAAGGTTGAGCTGTGAGGTGTAGACATGACTTGGAGAATAGGTCAGAAGAAAGAGCACAGATTGACGGATGGCATGAGGAGGACCCTGGAAGGCATTAACTTACTGGAACTACGTATAAACGACCCGATAGAGTGCTACTGCCACTGCTACGATATGGAAACACATGTGAGAAGTTGAACTTCATGAATTATTAACTCTGAGTTATCTGATACTGATATTAAACTCAGTCAAGGCGGTTAAAGCCTTTAATTTTCCAACCACGAACTTTTCCGGTCCTGTTGAAGAAAGTGTTGAAGAAAGCATCCTGGTGCTTATTTTTTTTCTCTCAAATCATTCACACATGCTCATGCATATCCATGTCCCGTGACCCGCGTAAGGTTGAAAAAGCAGTCCTGTATAAAACCCCTGTATAAAACGACACACCGGCTAGATGTTGAACTCGAAAACCAAAACAAAATAATAAAAAGAAGATGTGGTATCATATTGTTGAAGGCTACCCCGGAGCAGTGATCACACTTAGACGGGGAGGGGGAAGGTGCTGGCCCACTGGGCAATCTCCTTGCGGAGCTCGAGGATCTCGGGGACGGTCTCGGAAGCAACCTTGGCCTTGAAGTCCTTGAGCTTGTTGGCACCCTGGGGCAGCTCGCTCTGGACCTGCTTGCAGATGTTGATGGACTGGTCAATGTAGCGGGCAATGCGCTTGAAGTCATCCTCGGACATGCCACGGGTGGTCATAGCGGGGGCACCAATGCGGATACCGCAGGGGGTGAGAGCGGACTTGTCACCGGGGATGGAGTTCTTGTTGCAGGCAATGTTGATCTGCTCGAGGACAGCCTCAACACGGGCACCGTCGAGGCTCTTGGGGCGGAGATCGACGAGAACCATGTGGCTGTCGGTACCGTCAGAGACGAGCTTGTGGCCCAGAGCCTTGAACTCATTCTCAAGGGCCTTGGCGTTCTTGATGACCTGCTCCTGGTAGAGCTTGAACTCAGGGGAAGCAGCCTGCTTGAGGGCAACGGCAAGGGCAGTGATGGTGTGGTTGTGGGGACCACCCTGGTGACCAGGGAAGACGGAGAAGTTGATGGGACCCTCAAGGTCGTACATGATGTCCTTGCCGGTCTTGGCGTCGTGGCTGCGGACACCCTTGCGGAAGAAGATCATGGCACCACGGGGACCACGGAGGGACTTGTGGGTGGTGGTGGTGACGACATCGGCGTACTCGAAGGGAGAGGGGATAACACCGGCGGCGATCAGACCGGAGATGTGAGCCATGTCGACGACGAGGTAGGCGCCAACCTTGTCGGCGATCTTGCGCATACGCTCGTAGTCAATGAGACGGCAGTAAGCGGAGGTACCAGCGACCAGGATCTTGGGGCGGTAGAGCTCGGCGTTGGCCTCAAGGGTATCGTAGTCAATGATACCAGTCTCAAGGTTGACACGGTAGGGGAGAGTCTCGAAGTAGGTGGAGACAGCGGAGATCCTGCAGGATAGACGTTAGCAGCTGACTCAGATCGACAAGGAAAAGCTTGAAAAAAGCTTAAAACAGCTTTGGAGACGTACTTGCGGGCAGGAGTCTGGTAACCGTGACTCAAGTGACCACCGTGGGGGAGGTCGAGACCCATGAGGCGGTCGTGGGGGCGCATGAGAGCCTGGTAGACCTGGAGGTTGGCAGGGCTTCCACTGAGGCACTGCACGTTGACACCCCACTTCTCGGAGTCGAGGTTGAAGGCCTTGAGGGCACGAGCCTGGCAAGTAAGCTCGATGGCATCGATGTGCTGGTTACCACCATAGTAACGGGCACCGGGATAACCCTCAGAGTACTTGTTGGACATGGGAGAGCCAAGGGCATTGAAGACGGCGTGGGAGGTGAAGTTCTCCGAGGCGATCAGGACAATGGATTCACGCTGACGCTGGATTTCTTTTTCCTGTAGACTTTCATGTTAGTATTGTTCTTAATCCTTGGTTTCTTTTTATATAGAGGAATTGAAAGGCAGGGATTGAAAAACAGGACATACCATGATCTGAGCGATCTCAGGGTCGGACTCGACGAGAGACTTCTCCATTTGCTGCACCGATGAGTCAGTCAACTGCTTTGGTTCATTCCCAGAGACATGAAGTACTTACGTCCCGGTGGGACTGGGGGAGGGCGTAGGTGGCCATTGTGCGTGATGTGAAGATGGATGAGGGGATGGGAAGGGAGATAGAGGAAAGAAAAAGATGGGATGAGGAGGGAAAGAAGAAAGAGAAAGGAAGATTGAAGAACGGGGGGGGAGAGGTAGAAGAAGAAGTAGGAAGATCTGGCGGGGTGGGGGGGGGAAGAAGATGCGGCGGACTGGGTCGGGAAGGGAAAAAAGTTGCCTCAGGACGGAGGTCACAGACCAATCTTTCCTCCTTTCCTCCTTTGAGCCCCGCAGTCCGAACTGGACGGGAGGCAAAAGAAAAAATGATTCCCACTAAGAAAAATCCGGAGGCGGTCGCAAGTCCGGGAACGACATCGGAGCCGTGCTTGCGAAAACCCGCCGACTCCTCCGTGGGTTACGGAGTCTTTGTTCTACGCAGTGTATGCTTTTAGTCGCCGCTATTATTCATCGCCTGCCTCAATCCTTTCTGCGTCAAAAAGTCAATCCTGTAGATTGCACATCGTTTCTCTTTGATTGGTGCTCCAATACGACATTCCGAATAAATGAATTGTCTAGATTTAAACCAAACCGTCAAACCGCCAAACCGCCCGAAAAAATCGGTTGCTAGTAAAACCACGGTCTGACTCACCGTCGCAAAGTATCCACTGGAGCTTGCTCGCCGAGCAAGCAAGCAGCACCACTAATTCAAATCCCCGATGGATACTAATCGGACCAGTTTACGTATATGTAGTGCATTATTTCCGACTATACGAAAGCCGAAGCTGGATTCCAGGTCACGCAAGCAAGCCTTACAAGTAGAGATAATGTTCACAAAGATTTAAAAGCTTCATCAACTGTTTTTCTGGGTTTACGCAGACGTCCGTTTCACGCAAAGCTCAAAAAAGAAACTTCAATTCACCCTTTCGTCTGCCATCAGGTCAATGATGACTCCGAAAGTCCTCCCTTGCAGACCAATTCCACCTGATGTATCTGCAGGTTTCATCCCAATGTAGAATGAGGACCGTGGAGGCCAGAGGCGGGGTTGTCAAGCATAATGGACAGCACTTCCCACCTGCAGGATTGCTTGAGAGCAGCTTTTTTGAGAGCAGCTTTTGTGAATCATTGTTCAGCCACTAGCATGCTGCTAGCATGGCAAACGTAGGTGAGGGTCAGGACGGCCATGGTGGTAAGTACTATTCAAGTATCGGCAGTTCTTGAACAGCTGCAGTGGCAAATTATTGCCTTGTATTGCTGTGGCTTCAGGTAGAGTACGCGGGCCTCTTCATTGCGCAGCGACGTTCAAATCAACAACACTTTGAGTCAATTGACCGTGTCAACAACCAGGGGTTCCGATGATCAGGCTACTTTGCAGTGTGCTGGGCCACTAAAACCAGCATCTGTGGAATACCCAACCCAGCAATCGACATGATTCACTTGGATGATCCAGCGTGCCCAAGTATGCATGCTTGATACTAGTCACCTGCGAGAAGAAGCGTCCTGCGCCCATGGTGATGACCGAAATCATGGCAGTGCTCCCGCCATTGTTGGTGACCATATTTTCTATCCCTCAGAGCCCTCAAGGTTCAGTGATTCTAGACTTTCCCGCACTCCGAGGACTGGCTCTCCGGCCAAAGTCAGAGATGACTGATTTGAGCTTTGCGATACGGTCCTCGAGCTCCTGGATTTCCACCTCCTGCTCTGCCACAGAGCGGTCGACATCTGGCAAATTCTCCACCACTGCCTGCGCCTTCTGGATTCGGATCTTGATCGAGCTGACCTCGGTCGGGAGATCTTTGATATCGAGCGGTGGAGGTGCATTCGATCCCAAGGCTGCAAGTTCGGCCGAGGCGGAAACCGGTCCAGGTCCTGCGGATGGAACAGTCACCAGCACTCCAGGGTGGCCGTGGCTTTCATTCCCAGGCTGTGAGTGAGACTGGCCAGGAGCACTTGTGGGTTGTCCGACCGGGCCCGAGCCTCCACTGTTGACTTCGGCGGCTCTGACACCATTACCAGCTGTCCCGAGGGATGCAAGCAGGCGAAGCAGAAGACCGTGCAATGGCGGAATGATATCAAAAGTCTGCGGGGGCGGGAATGGAACCGCTTGAGGTGTAATGGGGGTGTCCTTCACGATGGGGGTTTCGGGCGCGGAGAATGGTGGTTTCGCTGCGGGTGTGAAGGCCGTGGGGGATCTGGACGCCATTATCGGAAGAGAAGAGGACACCGGGACGGCGAGAGTCGGCTTAGTGTATTCTTGCGATGCAGTATGAAAGACTGACAGCAGGAGTGGGAACTGAGCCAGAGACGAAATATGGGGCCCCTTATTTCGGGTTGCTGGGTAATTGTTTAGGGAAGAGCCGGAACGTGGAGGTAAGTTTGTTGCGGGCGGACGAGACCGGCAGGAGAAAGGAGTGCGGGCAGCGAGCAAAATCGAGCAGTGAGCAGTGAGCAGTGAGCAGTTAGCGGTTAGCAAAGGAAGTGACGTCGGGAAGAAAACAACCCCAAAGCGTCACCGGGAAGAAAAAGCCCAAGGAAAAGAGCCCCTCCCCCTCAATCCATCATCCCAACCCAGTTGTTTTCACCGGGCCAGCCTTTTTACTCCGGTCTCTCCACCTACTCTTCTTCCTCTTTCGTTCTTCCTTTTTCCTAATTCTCTTTTCCCTCTTTGCTTCAATTCCTCTTTCTACTACCCCTTCCCAATTATTCAAGTTCAAGTAAGTATATGTCCTTTTCCCACTCCCCAATCACGATGCTTGGAACTATACGTCGCTACTATACCGACCTTCCTTTGCCCCGCCGTGGAATTCGCTGACCATCCAATTTCCATTCAGCATAACTTCACCATGGTTAAGGTTGATCAGAAGGTCGCTTTGAGTAAGTCATTTCTCTTGACCACTCTATACTAAATCCATTCGACTAACACTTCTGCTCAGTCGTCATCGATGGCTGGGGTGTCGCCGGCCCCGACTCCCGCAAGGACGGTGATGCCATCCTCGCCGCAGAAACCCCCTTCATGTCCGGCTTCGCCGAGGCCGACTCCAAGACTGCCCAGGGTTACACCGAACTCGATGCCTCGTCCCTCGCCGTCGGTTTGCCCGAGGGTCTCATGGGCAACAGTGAGGTTGGCCACTTGAACATCGGTGCTGGTCGTGTTGTCTGGCAGGACAGCGTCCGCATCGACCAGACCCTGAAGAAGGGTGAGCTCAACAAGATCGACAACGTCGTCGCCTCCTTTAAGCGGGCTAAGGAGGGCAATGGCCGTCTGCACCTTTTGGGTCTGGTCTCCGACGGTGGTGTCCACTCCAATATCACTCACCTGGTCGGTCTGCTGAAGGTTGCTAAGGAGATGGAGATCCCCGAAGTCTTCATCCACTTCTTCGGTGATGGACGTGATACCGATCCCAAGAGTGCCGCCAAGTATATGCAGCAATTGCTTGACCAGACTAAGGAAATTGGCGTCGGTGAGATCGCTACCGTCGTTGGCCGCTACTGGGCCATGGACCGCGACAAGCGCTGGGACCGTGTCGAGATCGCCATGAAGGGTATCGTCACCGGAGAGGGTGAAGACAGCGAGGATCCCGTTAAGACGATCAACGAGCGCTATGAGAAGAAGGAGACCGACGAGTTCCTCAAGCCTATCATTGTCGGCGGCAAGGACAGACGTGTCCAGGGTACGTTTTCACTTTTTCTTCGTGGCGTGGATGAATAGGCTTACTGACGGATAATGTTCGACAGACAACGACACTCTGTTCTTCTTCAACTACCGCTCTGACCGTGTTCGTGAGATCACCCAGCTGTTGGGTGACTACGACCGCTCCCCCAAGGCCGACTTCCCCTACCCCAAGGACATCCACATCACCACCATGACCCAGTACAAGACCGATTACACCTTCCCCGTTGCTTTCCCCCCTCAGCACATGGGTAATGTGCTGGCTGAGTGGCTTAGCAAGAAGGACCTCAAGCAGTGCCACGTTGCCGAGACCGAGAAGTATGCCCACGTCACTTTCTTCTTCAACGGTGGTATCGAGAAGCAGTTCGACGGTGAGGTGCGCGACATGATTCCCTCGCCCAAGGTTGCCACCTACGACCTGGACCCCAAGATGAGCGCCAAGGAGGTTGGTGAGAAGATGGCCGAGCGTCTTGGTGAGGGCAACTTCGAGTTCGTCATGAACAACTTCGCTCCCCCCGACATGGTCGGCCACACTGGTGTCTATGAAGCTGCCATCGAGGGTGTTTCTGCCACCGACAAGGCTATTGGTGTCATTTACGAGGCCTGCAAGAAGAACAACTACATTCTGTTCATCACTGCTGACCATGGGTGAGTTGTTATCGTAATTCTGATTGATACGACCCGCTAACAATCCCCCCCAGAAACGCCGAGGAGATGCTCAACGAGAAGGGCACCCCTAAGACCTCCCACACCACCAACAAGGTTCCTTTCATCATGGCCAACGCTCCCGAGGGTTGGAGCCTCAAGAAGGAGGATGGTGTCCTCGGTGACGTCGCCCCCACTATCCTGGCTGCCTTGGGCGTTGAGCAGCCTGAGGAGATGTCCGGACGCAGTCTTTTGGTTAAGGCATAGATTTAGTGTATAGAGTATATTTCAGGTTTCTAGATACGGCGATTTATGAAGCGATGAATCTTAATGGAGCGCCCGAAGGGCATCAAGTGAATTGTAGAGCGTGATTGGTTGCACACATGGAACAACTAGGATATTGAATTGGTAGCTCCCTGGAACCCGGTAATATTACTTGAAGCGATATAATGGTTCTTCCTGTCCCTTTTAGGGACAGTATCACCGGTGGTCGATTGAGGAAGAGGCAAGAAACCACAAAACTAAATCATTGCAAGGGTATCTAAAACCACATACTTTTTCCATCAACCAGTAAAGTAGGCTGGCTAAGGTTCCACACTGGAAATCTCACCAATCGTCTCTCTACATCGTCGTCCGAGTTGAATGCAACTGTGTTGCTGAGATATCAACCCGCGCATTATCGCCGACAATGTGAGTGCATTCAGGTCCGTCGTTCTGATGCACCCGCCCCTGCCATGCTTCGAAGGTGTGGGGGGCCGTTCATCGTTCTTCTAGAGCTAACCCAGTATACCATCCTTCACCACTCAAGCAGAAGCAGCAGCGGCTTGTTGCTGAACCTGAGTCTGGAACTGAACGATCTGTAGAATCCATCAGAATCAGTTGTCCCATCTTCCGACCCCAATCAAGTCAAGCTTACCTCGGTACGCTTCTTGTCCGCCTTGTCCTGGTTCTCCTGGATTTGTCCCTCGATTCGCTTACTGTAGCTCAGCCATTAGACCCCGTTTTTAATACTGTGCGGAATATGGTGGGTGGCATACATCTCCTTCTCAATGAACTCCAACCGTCCATTGACAGCCATCACCGCCTCAGTCTTGTCCTGCTTCAACAGCACGGGACCGATCAGCTTATAGATGTTGGACTCGTCATCGAGCGAGTCGAATTCCTTCTGTACGCCCAGATTCTCTTGTTGCTGGGACTCGAGCTTTTGGCGCGCATCGACAAGACCGTCGAGCTCTGGAAGTGAATTTTCGTTAGCAAATGAGCTTCCCTGCACATATGACGCGATTGCGCTGTGCTGGATAGACAGCCCCCGGGCGGAGATTCAAAAAGAGTACACACCGGTCTGCAATTGCTGGAACTCATCCGAGAGTGCCTGCATTTTCTTCTGGGCGTCCGCCATGTTTGTGATATGTTGTTATATAAGGTTCTATAGGACTATTGAGAAGGAGGGGGAAAGCAACCAACAGAATAGGCTGTGAGAAGGTGCGGGCGGGCAGCAGCAGCAGCGGCGGCGGCGGCGGCGGCTCGGAGGGGCAAAAACGGCCAGACGGAGCGGCAGAAAACCAGAGACGGTAAACAACCCAGTGGGGGACTTGGACGGGTTCAACTTGTGGCCATCTCAACTTAACCTACCTCTCTCTCTCTATTTCATTCAGTTTCTTCTACAAATTCGTTTTCCCCAGGAAGGCCTTCAGCATATTAACTTGGGATTCTTGTGCGGTTCCAACCTCGTGTTCCATTCGCTACTCTCCATTACTTCTGATCTCATCACGCCAGGGCTACTTACCTAGTAGTACCAAGCAACCAATCAACCCAGCCACTCCTCGGTCTCGGTCTAGGTACTCTCAGTCTCCCCGCCTTTCGCCCTCCTCCGTTCCCTGTCCGTGTGTCCCTGGCATCCTCCCTCCACCACCCCTTCAAAGCCTCATTACGTAGCCGGGAGAAAAACAAAAAACCAAACTATCTTGTCAGCCCCGCGCGCTTGCTTTCTTCTTATCACCTCTTTGTTCATTCCAACACAGCCATGAGCAACACCGACTTCCTCGGCCGGGCAATTGACACCGTCAAAAAGGCCATCGAGAACGACAATGAGGGCGAATACGAGAAGGCCTATCAGCTCTACTACTCCGCCCTGGAGCTATTCATGCTGGCTCTGAAATGGGAGAAGAATCCCCGCTCCAAGGAGATGATCCGCGCAAAGACCGGCGAATACATGGATCGGGCCGAGAAGCTCAAGAACCACCTCGCCTCGCAGGAGGGGCGGAAGAAGCCCAGTGCTGTCGGCGCGAATGGGAAGGTCGCGCAAGGGAGTGGGAAGGGAGGGTATGTTTTCTTGCTCCAAAAAGAAGCTCGTTCAATACTTTTTCTTCTTCTTTCTTGATAATCATTCTGGATCGGCTGTTTACTGACAATTGACTGTTTTACTCTGTAACAGGAAAGAAGATGATGATGGTGAGGATGCCGATGCGAAGAAGCTACGGTCCGCTCTGGCGGGAGCGATTCTTTCGGATAAACCGAACGTCAAGTGGGAGGATGTTGCAGGTCTGGAGAGCGCGAAGGAGGCCTTGAAGGAGGCGGTCATCTTGCCGATCAAGTTTCCGCATCTGTTTACGGGGAAGAGACAACCGTGGAAGGGTATCTTGCTGTATGGGCCGCCCGGTACAGGTAAATCGTATCTCGCCAAGGCGGTTGCGACGGAGGCGAACAGTACCTTCTTCAGTGTCAGTAGCAGTGACTTGGTGTCCAAGTGGATGGGTGAGAGTGAAAGGTATGGATGCTTGCTCGTGTCTGTGAGACTATACAGGATTTGGGCGCTAACGGTTTCCCCTTTCACAGGCTCGTGAAGCAGCTGTTCAACATGGCCCGAGAAAATAAGCCCGCAATTATCTTCATTGACGAGGTCGATGCCCTTTGCGGCCCCCGTGGAGAAGGAGAGTCCGAGGCGTCCCGTCGTATCAAGACGGAATTGCTCGTGCAGATGGACGGTGTCGGAAAGGACTCCAGGGGCGTCCTAATCCTCGGTGCGACCAATATCCCGTGGCAGTTGGATGCTGCCATTCGTCGCCGCTTCCAACGGAGAGTCCACATCAGTCTCCCAGATATCAACGCTCGCATGAAGATGTTTATGTTGGCCGTCGGCTCCACGCCGTGTGAGATGACGCAAGCCGATTATAGGACCTTGGCTGAGATGAGCGAGGGCTACTCGGGCAGTGATATCAGCATCGCGGTACAGGATGCGCTAATGCAGCCCATTCGGAAGATTCAGACCGCGACGCACTACAAGAAGGTAAACTTCACTCCTTCTTCCCACATGGTTCCCACATGGTTCAAACACCCGACTAACCGCGATTAGGTCATCGTCGACGGTGCGGAGAAGCTCACGCCTTGCTCGCCTGGCGATCAGGGCGCCATCGAAATGACATGGACAAGCGTGGACGCAGAGAAGCTCTTGGAGCCACCACTCATCCTCAAAGACTTCATCAAGGCTGTCCGCAACTCCAGACCAACCGTCAGCCAGGAGGATCTGCAAAGAAACTCTGAATGGACGCAAGAGTTCGGCAGTGAGGGTGCCTGAGCCTTTATATTCTCGTCCATTCGGAACCGCCCTACCCCTCTTCTCCGTCTTTAAACCATCGATCCTGATATAGAGTCAAACTTACATGGGACTTAATTTTTTTTTCGTTGGTTTTTGCACTGAAACGCTCTGATTCTCTGATTTTCACTACTAACCGAGTTGGATGAACGAAAGGAATGACCTATGCTTATGTGTTTCTATCTGCGTCTATACATACACTTTGTTTCTGCCTCTTGTTCTGCCGTCTTTGTACCTCTTGCGCTGATGTTTCTCTGCAAACCCTTCTCACCATGACCTCGGTGTTAGGAGCTTTTTTACTCTCTGATTTCCTTCTGATCTGGATGTGTGGCAAGGCGAGGCGTTACTTGATCCTGTTATTTTGAGTTAAAACACTACTTCTTTTTACCATTCACCTGGGTTGCCCTCGAAGCATACCTCACGGATGTCGGTCACCTTTATCATTGGTACAATCTCAAGAAAGCATTAACTATTAGCATCTTGTGTTGATAAATCCAGTTTTCGAACCTTAGCATTCTAAGCAACCGATTGAGCGAAACTCGTATCCAGGCTAGAAGAACTCAATGCAGATGTATATGCATTCATTCGTCTGGGGGCTTCATGTTCTAAGACGCACCAACAGCTCGGTACAGTCTAAGAATGTAAGGGGTGTAGTTCCATGTACTGTACTCAGTCGAAATCAAACAGGCTATTCAAACATAGTCATTCATCCGTCCATCCATCCATCCATCTTATGGCAAGAAAAGAACAAGAAAAGAGGCCAGAAAAGCACGAAAGTAACGATAACGCCACATGAGACCACACAACAGGCTCATGATATCAAAAACAAAAAGCACACAAACACGTCGGGGAATCTTCTTATCATCAAAGGTGCCGAAATTTCCGGGCGGGGGCGGAAAAGCAAAAGTGAAAACATATGACAGAACGCTGTTGACTGGATGTTGAGTTAAACCAAGTCACATACAAAAAAGCGCACGTGCGAGTGAGGGAATGGAGAAAAAAAATAGAATAAAGCATCTATGCAAAAGGTTGTTGCCGAAAGGTGGTAGAGCTGATAGGCTGGCTCCGTCCACGACAGGGCTTGAACTTGAATACCTTTTCGTCAGTATTTGTTCGAAGACTCTCTTCGCTTCATGACTTCGTTCTTGGCCCTTTTCAACCCTTCGCCGATCTTTTTGGTTTTCTTCCAGTCCTGGCTCATTCGTCGCATGCGGACGATGGCTTTGACCATGGAGATGGCGGTCTTGAGTTTCGCTTGGGGAGTCCGGAGGGGGGTGCGGTCTCTGGGTTTGACGCCCATGTCTGAGATCATGCGCAGGTCGGCTTCGTTGCTGCATTGGTGTGAAGCGATAGAGAGTCAGTTATTCTGTGGTGTGGTCTTATTCGTGAGATGAAAGGATGTATACGTACCATGCAACCCGGACGCGCTCGCCCAGCTCCATCAATCCTTTACTCCAAGCCAGATCGCGACGGAATTTCTCCTCTCGCTTTAGACGAGCACGGAGCCAGATGATCTCCTTGCCGAGACCCAGAATTTCCTTGTCGTGTCGGGTCTTGCTGTCGGTCCTGGTTCCCAGCTTCTCCACAAGCTGGTCGTAACGATCTTGCAGAGCCTCGAGTTCCTTGAGAGACATTTCGGCTCTACGCGCGCAGAACGACCGCTCATCGCGGATTCGGCGCATTTGGGACTTGAGCTCGTTGAGACGGGCATCACGCTCCGATACCTTGAGGGCGAGCGCTTCGGCCTCGAGGGTGGATGATTTGAGTAGTTCATGGAGGTCACGCTGGTCTTCTTCTCTCATGGCAGCTCGCTCCAGGTCGCGGTTCTTCTGCTTCACTTCCTTGAGTGCTCGGTGTGCTTCGGACAATTGCTTCCGCATGCTGCGGAGTTCATCATGGAGCTTGTTTGAGGGTGACGATGATGGTGATCGAGTTTCGAACTTATTCATCAAGGATTCATGCAGTTCCCTCTCGAGCTCGGAAATTCGTGCCTTGTAGGCCCGCACGGACGATTTCTGCTCAGCTTCCCGCTGGAGAAGCACCTTCTCACGTTTCCGTGCTTCGTCTAAGCCATGACGGAGCATCGAAAGGTCCGCGTGTGCAGTTGAATGCTCAAGCTCAGGCTCAGTATGCGGATGCTCGCGAAGGAGTGTTTCGAGTTCTTGGATACGTCTCTCGAGACGTTGTATCTTACTTTTGGCGAGAGCGAGTTCACGTTCCCTGCCTCCGGAAGTTGTGTGTAGCTTATCCTGGAGCTGGTCGATTTCTGCCGAAAGACGGTTCTCTTCCAGCGTAGCACGCTCAATCTCAGTGCTAAGCTGTTTCTCCAGTGTTTCCTTCGTCTCAAGAAGGGATGACTTGTCTTCCTTTAGGCGCTTGAGCTCGGCTTCGAGACGCAGAGTCGACTTGCGCAGGTCAACCTTCTCTTTGTCGAAACGTGTCGTGTCGTCAACCTGGTTTTGAACCTGGTCAAGTTGGCTTTGAAGCTCATCGCGTTCAGCTTCAGTCTCGGTAAAAGAAGTCCGTAAGTCGTGCAATTCAACGTGGGCATTCGCAAGCTGATCCCGAAGTCTTTGCTTTTCTGTTAACAGTTTTTGCACCTGGCTGTCCTGCTCCAAGGATCCTTTCTGTGTACGACCCTTAGCGAATTCCTGTTCTTCTTCCAGGTTTGCTTGCAGGACCACAATCTCATCCTCTAATGCTTGGACTCTCTCTTTGAGAGTCGTCTCTGCGCGTCGTACAAGTCTCAATTCCTCTCTGGTGGACAAGAGTTCGTTCCTCTGTTCGTCAATTATCTCTCGCTTTGATGTCAGGTCGTCGTTCAATTCCTTGACCTGTCGACTCAGGACAGCCTCCGAGTTAAAATGTCGCGTCTTTTCGCTGTCAATGACTTCTTGCAACTTCATCTCTTTTCCAGACAGAGTATGCTCCACTTGTTCGAGCTTCTCAATCGTGCGCTTAAAGCCAGCCGCCTGATCCTCAGCCCTGTCCTTCTGGAGCTGCAGGGTTCGCCTTGCGCTCTCCCATCTGTCCTGTTCAAGCGCAAAATGCCCTTCTTTGTCCTCAATCTCATGATGCAGGGCTTCAATTTCTTCTTGCTGCCTCTCGACTTCGTCCTTGTATTGAGTACGAATAATGTTGGCTTGGTCCAGTGCACGATGTCTTTCGTCCTCGACCGCTTGCTGTAGCTCTCGAATCTTGTTTTGTGCGTTGGCCAAGTCATGTTGTAGACTACCAGATTCATCCGTCAAAGCGCTGTGTCGGGTTTGTAGCAGTTCTTTCTCATCAGCCTTGCGCTGGATTTCGTCCAGTGCATCCTGCAATTGAGCTGCCAACTTATCACGTTCTTGCCGAGAAAGGTCACATTCCCGTCTTGCCTGCGCGAGATCATTGTGGAATTTGCGCTCCCTGTCATCAAAGCTCCGCTGGCCATCCCGATACTGCTCTTGGAGACGATCCTCGTTCCGGGCCTTGTTGTCGAGTTCTCTCTTGAGAGTGCTGTTCTCCTGCTGTAGGCTCCGCAAGTCCTCCTCAAGCTTGTTCGCCTTCTCTTCGAGCTGACGGGTTAGTCCACTCGTGCTGATAGACTTGTTTGCCATTTCATCATGCAATTCCTGGAGGTCTTGTTGGGCTTGTTCCTTCTCCTTGACGGCCTCTAGTCCGGCGTCTCTCGCTTCCCTCGCTTCTAGCTTAGCTTGGCTTAGCGAATCCTGCAGCTCTTCTATTTGCTCTTTCGCACGTTGAAGTTCTGCTTCCAGCTCGGAGAGGGCATCGCGCTCCTTGCCATCCCTATCCTTCAATTCTTCTATCTCCTCGTCACGTTCGTCGATCGTCCGATCCTTCTGCCTTAGCGATGCTTCCAGATCCTCGATTTCATCTCGAAGCTTCTCCATTTCCCGTGATTGGTTGTCCTTTTCGTCTCGTAGCTCCTCTTGGAGCTCTCTGATTTGGTTGTCCCTCGCTTCCACCTCCTCCCTCATCAAATCCATCTCGCGCTGTATTGTGTCGTCCGATTGCCGCCTCCGTGACTTTTCTTTCAGCTCTTGGAATTCAATGCGGTAGGATTCTAGTTCGCGCTCGGCTTGTTGGAGGCTCTTCTTGTATCGTGCAATATCGCGTTGCATCGTCAATTTCGAAACCTTGAGTTCGGTGTTTTCCTTTAACGCTGCTTGATTGTGCGAGGGGCCCGCCTTCTGCAGTTGTTCTTGTAGAAAGTGAATTTTCAGTTTCAATCCAAAATTGTCTTTCTCGAGTTGATCAATCATCTAAGATAGTCAGAAAAGCTCCGTCAAGAGAGAGAGAGCGAAAGTCCTCTCAAGATGCAGCAAGGTTACCTTTTCCTGTTCCCGTAAAGACATCATATTCTGCTGCCCGTCCATGCCTCCTTCCCTGGACAAAGCCGGGAGCGGTGTACTCTGCATGCTACTGTCCTGAGGCATTGGGGTCCGCTGCTCATCCGTCGCGTCCTCCTCATCAATATCCGTCATCTCCATCGACGGCAACCCAGGGGTGTTGACCGCGCTCAACGAGCTTGTTCGCGTATAGCCTGGCGTCTTGGACCCATGCCTTCGCGTCGTCGACACGTTCTTCAGGAAATTGTTCTTCGTCGCGCTTCTCATCAGGGGGGTAAACTCCCCCTTCGGGATGGCTGTGTTTGGAAGTCCGTGTCTACTGTTCAACGCGCTTCTGCTCGCCTTTGGGCCGGATCCCGCTCGTGGCGTGCTAAGCTTGAAGCCCGCGGGCGAGCGTCTCGCGTTCTCGGCGCCTCCGAACCCTTTGAGCACATCGTTGTCCTTGGATGGCGTATGGAATGAATTTTCGACCGAGTCGAGTGCCGTTAAATTGGGTCGGCCCACGCTGCGGTAGCCGTTGGTGAGATAGGTCGCGTTCCCATCCACTTCGGTGCGCGGCGTATCGATGTAAGGCCACGGCATTGTCGTCGGTTGGGCGGCGAGGAAACACGCGATTGTTGCACAAACTAGTCGGCTAAGGTAAGATTGAAGTGAGTGCCATTAAAGAACGACCATCCCCGACGGCCGAGCTATCATTCAGGACGCCAAAAACACGCGACAAGGTTCTCGTGGTAGGGAAGGGGAAAAAGTGGTGGGGAGCAACTGAAGATTGCGACGATGCGATAATACGGGACGGGAGCTTGCAATGGACGTGTTTTGGGCGGTGAAGACTGGACGGATACTGTATTGTTGACATCTAGCCCAATCGGGCTTAGTGTCAACGCTCTCGAGTCTCCGGGCCGGGGAATTTGCCGCTGCTTTTTTGTCCCGCCCAAGTATGAAGTCATGTCCTGCCCGTAATTTATTTCTCTCACTGCTCATTTTCAGCTCATTTCCAAATCATTCACAACAACTCAATAGTCCACAAGGAAAGCCGCGGCAAGTCGGCTGGCGACCGGTTCTCACCATGGCGCCAATGTCGCAGGAGGATCTTGAGTGGTTCAAGTCCACCTTTCGTCCCATTCCCAAGCCAGAGATTCCGGACGATGCCGTTGATTATGCGCTATATCACATCCCTTCTAGCCCCGCCCCCGCTACGCTCGACGAGGTTGCAGAAACGCGAGCGCGACTGGTCGAGGTGCAAAAGTCTGCTGCGGAACTGACAAAGGACCTTTTAAAGGATTATATCTGGCAGCGCGAAGGTTTTCGGCTGGAGATTACCAAGGATAATGGTATGCGGTGCCCTTCCTTCCATGTCTGATGCGCCCTGGTACTTATTGCATTGCAGGCGTCACATCTTTGCATGGGCGTACCAATTTTGGAGACTCCATCGAAGATGAATGGGTTATTGTGTACATGCTGCGCGAACTGACCAAGAAGCACAAGGATATATGGGCCAGAGTTGTAGATGGTGACGGACAGTTCCTCCTCGTGGAGGCCGCTGCCACGTTGCCTGCGTGGCTGGAGCCGGAGGTCGCTGAGAACAGGGTTTGTCACTGTCCTGTCGTATTCATTATACCCATCTGGCTTCGCTAATGTCTGTATCTATCCCAGGTATGGATCAACAAGGGCGAACTCGTTATCATCAAGCCGAAAAATGATAAGAAGGACAGAGTAACAGAGAAATTGTCGTTTGCAGATGCGAGGAAGGTAATAATGGAGGAACCCGCGCGACTCATGCGCTCGACCATGATACAGGAGGAAGCATTTTATCGTCTCCGCAATTACCCTAAACAAATCAACGAGAATCTCCACTCCGCATTGGTCACCATCCCTCGCAAGGTCGCTTTCCTGCTACATCAGAAACCCGCCTACATATCTGCGGCCGTGGAGGCCTTCTATCTCAGAGACCCGATCGCATTACGGCCGTTGCGTTCGAAGGACTTCAGCAGCTTCATCTTCAAACCCGAGGACCTCGTTACGGTCAGCGTGCGCTTTACCCGGGTCGGTTACGCCCAACTTAAAAGTCAAGACTTCCCCATTCCCAAGTCCTGGGCCGAGAAGTTGCCGCCGACGGAAGATCAAACAGCCTATGGACGGGCAGAAATGGGCATGAAGCTGGCTTGCGGGTTCGAAATGCTGCTCAATGACCCTCAGAACCAGGATAAAGCCACAGTGAGAGAAATGAACCTTATTTTGGAAGATCTGGATACTGGAGATGAACAATTACCGACAGATGAAGAGATAAAAACCTGGGATCGACGGGAAGATGACGAGAAGTGGCTAGATATCAGCTTTGAGGATCTAGACCAGGAACTGAAAGGCAAGGGAAAGGGCAATGACGACAACTCGCGTGCACGGGGTGCTTTTGGTGACTCTAATGCACAGGAGAACTTGCAGCGCATCGTGGCACAGTTTGAAAAATTCCTCAATGACGACTCAGCTGGCTTTGAAGGAGCGGAATTTATCGATGACTTCAGCTCGGACGAAGACGATGAAGATGATGAAGATGAGCTGAGCGATGAGGGCGAAGATAAAGAAGCCTCATTCAATGAGGAGGAGTTTTCAAGAATGATGGCGGAAATGATGGGAATGCCGTCTGGGTCAGGCCACGGTCAGAGGGGCGTATTTGGGCACCCACCGCTCAACAGAGTGCAAGAGCTCGATAATGATTCCGAAGACGACACTGAGCAGATCAAGGAATTATCAAGACAGATGGAAGCGGAACTTCGAGGTACCGGAGTTCTTGACCTAAACCGTCGGCCTAAGGCAGCTCAAGATCAGCGGAAACTTGGGAAGGGCAAATCAGGCGAGGAAGAAGAGGATGAGATGCCAGATCTAGATGAGGGCGATTCTGATATCAACCTTGCAAAGAATCTGCTTGAGAGTCTCCATGGTCAGGCTGGTGTTGCCGGGCCGGCAGGAAACATGCTCGCCATGATGGGTCTCAAAATGCCGAAGGATGACCGCCATCACTGATTACTTGAGCCACCAGCTTCGAGTGCTTCTCAATGGTGAACACTAGTGAGCGAAATTCGTCTTCACATCTATAAGTAGACATCTGCGCCAAGGCTCCCACTTTGCGCAAGGGCAGGTATCCGCAGAACGGCAGTCCTGCGTCCGGAGATAGCTGCAAGCCGGGCAGGCTTACGCGAACACTAGTGAGTTTTCGTGGTAACTGGCCATCGGGGGTGATTCCTTCAGGTGTCAATACACCAAAATTGCAGCTTATGGACTGAGAGAATGTCTAACTCCCTCGTTGATGTTCATGCTCGTCTGACTATGGACTAAAGGATCATAGAACAACTGCCTCTAAAAGTATATAGACACGAGCTTGGTCATGATGTGCAAATATATCAGCACGCTAACGACGATGAAGCCTCTCATATATTTATCTGTAAATGTCGTGATGCCTATTCGACCGTCATATCTTCAATTCATGACATATTTGACGTGACGAATTTAAAAGTCCTCATAATAATATAATGCACTTCAATATGCTTATTAAGTTATAGATCATCCCATCCTCTTGACCGACATCGAAGGACAAACAGAGTTACGGATAAACCCGCCCCGAAACCGCTTCTCAACAGCATCACGTGGGATAATAATGTCTTATCGGCTTGGGTGTCGTCAGCCCCGTTTTCCCCCTCTTTCTTCCCCTCTCTCCGACCCCTCTTTGGCCCTCAACGGACTCAATTCCCGGGCGGATCTGAGGTTGTGCGCTGTGCTCTACGGGCTCTTTGGCTTTTCTATCGTTGACCGATTATAACCACAGCCGCTTCGATAGTCGTTGAACACCCTAACCCATAGACCCATTAACTCAGTTCAACTTCAAGCAGCAGTGTATCCCATCAGGCCGGACGGAAGTGACAGCCGTACTCGTCACGATTCCCAAATAACCAAGAAACCGAAAGAGTCACAGCCCGGCTGATCCAGCGGCGAGATCAAAAGGAGTAAACGAACCTAGCCATTCTTGACGCAACCTCAACGAGAGCCCAGATACAAGAAAAGCCAAAGGGAAAAGATGGCCACGCCGGCCCACTGCTACTATTGCTTCGAGAGCCTCGCAGCCTCCTATCAACGCAAGGAACCCATCGACTTGGCCTCCGTCGAGGAACTCTGGGCCCGCCATGAACAGTTCAAGAAACTCTCCGCGCTGCAGGACACCGAAGAAGAGACGGACTACTCGCTCAGCGTAGACGACGACGACGACGACGACGAGGAGGAACCTGCGGGTGGTGGTGGTGGGCGTGGTGGTGGCGGTCCCCGGAAGATCAAGCTGCCCAGCGTGCACCGATTGCAGTCCAGATCCAGCACCACGACAACTCGGCCCTCATCGCTCAACTCCTCGCACTCCACGCTGACCACTTCCACCACGCTGACCACCCCGGGGTCCTCCACGCTCTCCGACACCGCTAGCGGACGCTCCCGCCGCGAGGAGCCGCCCGAGCCCCAAGAGTACCCGCTCTTCGTAACCTGGAACACCCTCTCGCGCCACGGCCACAAGTCTCTCCGCGGGTGTATTGGAACCTTCGAGGCTCAGGAGCTGTCCGAGGGCCTGAGAGACTACGCTCTCACCTCGTAAGGGAAACCACAAAAGAAATCTCGCCACATGGAAACTGGAAACACTGACCAAAACCCCGTTAATAGTGCATTCGAAGACACCCGCTTCGCCCCCATCCCTTCCACCCTCCTCCCCTCCCTCTCCTGCTCCCTAACCCTCCTAGGCACCTTCGAACCCTGCACCAACGCCCTCGACTGGATCCTCGGCCTCCACGGCCTCCGTATCTCCTTCATCCACCGCGGCCGTCGCTACGGCGCCACCTATCTCCCCGACGTCGCCGTCGAACAAGGCTGGACCAAGGAGGAGACCGTCAAGAGCCTGATGCAGAAAGCCGGGTGGGACGACAGCAACAGCAGCAGCAGCAGCAGCAACAATAGCAGTGCCGCGAGGCGGTTCCTTCGGGGCGGGACCGGCTCGAGTAATCATCATAGTAGTAACACCAGTAGTGGCGGGACGTCTTCGGTCAAGCCGCCATGGGATCAGGTCTCGGATTTCCGGGCGGTCAAGTATCAAGGGCTGAAGGCTAGTTGTACATATGCCGAGTGGCAGGAGTGGCGGCGGTGGGTTCTAGGGTTGGGGGATGGGAGTCAGAAGTTGTTGGTTGGGTGATTTTGATCCACCCCCGGGCCCCTTCATGAATAGACTTCCCTTTGGCTGGGATATTTGGGGTTGAATCTCTAACAATGATGATAATGATGATCTAATGATGTGGTTTCCTTGTGAGTGAAGGGGATTGTGCGTTTCATTTTTGGGTAGGGCGGGGGGCGTGCTCATATTTCTTCTTTTTTTGTGGATAGGATTAAGACATAAACTTCACTTTTCTTAAAGCTCAACGAACCAGCTGCCGCCGAGGAGAATAATTGGTAATCGATAGGCTCCGATCTGGATTTTGGAACCAGTATGCAGCACCCGTCGTGCTCGAAACATCGTACTTATATTGGTGGGATTCTATCGGTAGGATCGACCAGACAGACATCAATATATATCAGCCAAGAAGCGAGGGAACAAGCGAGGAAGCAACGAAAAGATGGTATCTAGGCTATATTGAGCATCCGACAGACACGAAACATGTGATTGATGCATATATTATCTCTTCGCAGATTTGCTCCACAACCCCGCCACCGTCTCCTTGACCTTACGTTCTTGGGCCCGAATCTGCTCCTCCGTCTGCCCGCGGGCATTGCCCCGTCCGTCGATTTCCATGTCCCCGTCGTAATCGGCACGGTCTCCCTGGTGCTGGGGAGGATACTGGTGTTCCTCGTAGACGTCGTTCCCAACGACGCGTTCGGGCTTGGGGTCGACGCTCATCACGCCGTCCATCATGAGCCCCCCTCCCTCGCGGAGCTTGTTAATGGCCCGCACCGTGTCGATGGCCTTGTGAAGGGTGCGTCGTGCGTTGAAGTTCTTCTTCACCGTCGGCAGGAGATCCTCGCCCGAGCCGAACTTGTCGACGTCGGTGTCGTAGGGCGGGTTGACCCAGGTATGTTGCAGGGCGGCGTGGGCCGTCATTCGCGCGGCGGGGTCGATGGTTAGGCAGCGTTTGATGAAATCGCGCGCCTCGGGAGAGACGCCGCGCCAGTATGCAAGGGGCGTGAAGGAATAGTCGGCTGCAAGGATGGCCTGCATCTCTTCCAGGTTGGAGTCGCGGTCGAAGGGGGTATAGCCGCAGAGTAAGAAGTAGGTGATGACACCAATGGCCCAGATATCTCTGCGAAAGGGGACGGGTCAGATACTTTGAATTCGAAAAGTGCAAGGTGCTCTGGATGAGAATATTCCCAGTATAAGACGTACACTGGTTTTCCATGGCCGCTTTTCTTGAAGATCTCGGGTGCCATGTACCCAGGCGTACCACATGTCGTGGTGAGCACGTGGAACTGCTCCTCGTCCATGATCCGAGACAGGCCAAAGTCTGCGATTAACAGATCCGCGTTGTCCTCGGGAGTCCGGAACAGGAGGTTTTCTGGCTTGAGATCGCGATGCACGATGCCATGATCGTGTAGATACGCAACCGCAGACAAGATCGCACGGATGAGATCCGCTGCGTCGGATTCGTAGTAGCTCCCTTTCCGGCAGATACGGTCGAAGAGCTCTCCACCGAGCGCAAGGTCAGTGACCAGGTAAACTGAAGAATAGATTAGCGTCCTAGAGCCCCTGCGCCTTTCGCAACCAAGTAATTGGGATGGCATACGATTGTTCATGGTCTCAAAATAGTCGACCAGGGTCAGTATGTTCTGGTGACCCATCGATACTCTCTTTAGCACTGCGATCTCATTCCGAACCTGTCAAGGTGCATAGATCGCCCATACCATTAGCCTCTATGCGATCATATCTGTGCATCCCATTTGGCCGGTACTAGTTCAGAAATAATTACCATGTGCTCGCGCCCAGCCATCAAGCGTTTATTGATCACCTTCGCCGCATAGTAGCGGCCTGTATCGATGTGCACGCATTCTTTAACCACAGAATACGACCCGGCGCCTAGCGTCTTGCCAGTCTTGTACCGACAAGGCTGGACCTTGGGGCGCTGACTTGTTTGCGCTGGTGATGCCATGGATCGAGAGCAATACAGAAACCGGAGAATATATAGGGTCGATGCAAGAGGATAATAGAAGCGAGAAACGACAACAGCCGGTGCTGCCACGAGCTCAGCGGAGACAGCGAGGAGGAGAAAGTGAGAGCTGATAAGTAAAGTGCCTGTGAAACGCGGCCCCGCAGTCAGCTTAAAGTGGACGGAGAACAGCAAACAACAACAACAACAGCGACCCTGAAGAAACGGCTGGAAATGGGAAGATCGGCGTACAGAAGGAACAGACTCCCGAGCTCTCGTCCGAGCAGAGAGATGTTGCTATCCGTTTGGGAAAAGGGGGAGTAAGAGGGAGGGACTGTTTCGTCCTATCGCGATCGGCTTGGGTGGTGGGGAGTGCATCCGACTGCGGGGTCCGCGGTGGAAACTTGGCCACTGACGGGTCAGGCACGTACTCGAGTACGAATCGGTGAATTGACTGGAAAAGGGGTGGTTGTGACTCTGGGTACCTGTGTATCTTGATAGGTAGTCTAAATGTTAAAGAAGAAAAGAGACGGCCGTCGAAAGTGTCGAGAGCTCGATCGAGCATGCGACTGCGGATTACCTTACCTTGTCCTTCTTGGTCGAGTTAGCTGTTTGAATGGCGCACGTGCAACTGAGATAAGCCATTCCTCCCTACTGTACAGTACATATCGCCGGGAAAACATCCAAAGAATATTTAGCCACAATCCAGTACTATGTATGTATCCACTTGATTCTATAACTATATACAAGAAAAAGCTCATGCGCAAGGCTATGCTAACCCGCCTTTGAACGCCAAGGTATCCAAAGCTATTATCCTCCTATCAGAATTGACCAAACAGGGTATTGTCACCAACAAACCTGAACCTAACGCTGAGCACAAAGACCAACCATATTACATCTGTCCTAGAACTTCCCCCACGACAGTCTCCAACAGCTTGAGGTTGTGGAACTTCGCAACACTATCCAGGAGCCGTAGCTTCTTCTCAATCTCTCCGCGGTTCATCGTTTCCACCCACACCCCGCTGCACGAACAATGCTCCATGAAATCACTGATCTTCAATCCCCCACACTTGGAGCATTTGAGGTCCTGAGTCTGCCAGCCGACAATGAATCCTTGCACCTGGCCAATGAGGGTCTCCTCCTGCGCGAGCCGGTCATACTCGGTTTGACAGAAGGGACAGCGCCAAGGCTTCACTGAAGATTTGTTCGACTCCGTGCCAGGATCAGGAAGCACATCTTCATCTCGGCACAAGTCCAGGTCTCGAATCAGACAACAGGCGTTGCAGGTGAGCTCAGGGATTTTCAAGCTTGCTCCTGGGTTCTCGAATCGACCCTCTTTGCTAAATTCTCGAATCTCAAACAGCGCAAGTAGCTCCCGACGCAGCAGTCGTGTCTCCATTGTGGTAGTCTTGGACAGACTGAGTACCTGCATCAGCAGTTTGACCAATTCCAGAACTGGGTTGCGTTTCTCGTCATTGGGGTTCGAAAGCACACCAGGAAGGACAGGAAAAGCATAGTCGGATGCCAGCTCCGGGTGTAGCAATTCATCCCGCTGTCGGCGAATAAGACTCGTAATCTGCTTCTTCAACGGCTTAGAAAACTTCTCGGCGAGAATAGCCGAGATTTCTTCACTTTCTTCATCGCTCGGACGCCCGATGGGGATCTGCGTCATCCGAGGAGTCGATGAGTTGTTATCAGGGCGTTTCAGACCGTGCATCAATTCGATGTACTCGACTACCCAGTCATGGAAGATAGTTTGCATGGGCGTAGGTAGGAACCGACTAAGCTGCCAATGCATGACCGTCTCCAACGGCTGCTCGTCGGACTCGGCCACTTCCTGGCATCCTTTGCCACCATAATTGTATTCATCGTACCAGAGTAAATAGTCCCAGTATTCCTTGATCTCGAGGTCGATGAAGTGGAATGACGGATTGGCCCGAATGGACTTCAGGACGTACTGGCTGAATGCATAGGCGTTGCCCACTTCCGTCTTGGTGGTGTGGAGTAGAAGGCGAGTGGAGCTTGCGAAGACAATGTTTGCACCCACTCGTCTGAATTCGGCCATCAGTCTCTGGAACGATTTTCTTGACAACATGCGCACATAATGGTGCAGTGACTGATCATATAGGCAGGAAGCAGGACTCTCCACCCATCGGATCAGATGCTGCACCATGATATCAGCCATACTGTTTCCATCACAAGCTTCAGTCCACCAGTTCTTCACCATTTCCCGAAGAACAACGGCCCCGGCTGAAGTGAATGCCTTCTCCGAGTAGAGCACCCCTCCATTCGCGTCAGCTGATGTGCCAGATGATGCCAGCAGTGTATCTGCTCCCTCCATTTCGTTGATGATGGACGAGGTCAGAATCGTGTTGATGGCGAGGTTGCGCACTTCGAGCTCAATACACACAGTTGTATATGCGTTCGGCATATTTACGGACGGCATTGGAACCTTTTCCAGAGGGCCTGTTATGTCGTCTTTCTCATAGCCTGCATGGTCAGGCTTAGGGTTCGAGGACCACCAAAGCACAACGTTATTCTGCTGAAGACGCCTGGCATAGGAGATATCGATCATGAAGCGAGGATCGTCGTTCTCCAGATTGCAGAGAGGAACATCACCATACCTTGCGAGCAAGGTCATATGCTCCACCCAGGCAGAGAGATAAAGATAATGTGTGACCAAGCGCCGAGCAACAAAAGTCTGCCAACCTAAGGGCGGAAGTTCCATGTCTGAAACCTCAGGCTTCACAGGTAAAATAGGGTATTCCTTCAATATGGGCACGTCATGACATAGGCGGCTTCTTTGATGAGACTGAATGACCATAATGGCAGGCTGAGTCTCCTCGGATTTCAGTTTCTTGATCAGATCCCCAACCTCCAAGTGAGCTTTCCTTCTTGTGGTCACCTGCGTGGTCTTGAAATGAAGCTTCTCCTGATACTCGAAAGCAGTCTGTGTGTTGTCCGCAGCTAAGTTCAGCAGTCTGCGCGCACGGAGTTCCGCGTAAATCTTATCGACGTTTGGAAGGCCTTGGACGTCCCGGGTACGGTTAAGGATAACGATGTGAGCCTCAGTCTTCGTTGTGGAGAAAATGGCAAATATCTGCCTGTCACCAGAAGCAACATGATACAGATAGTGGTATGCCATAGGAGCGTCTAGCAGATAAGGTTGATCGGTATTCGTATGACAGAGAGTTGAGAGGTCGAATCCCTTATCCAAGCCTTCTCCGAGAACGCCTCGCTGTTCTTCATCGAATGTGCAAATACTGCCGAGTCTGAGGACTGCGCGAACGGTGAGAGGAATGCTCCTTTCATAAACACCTTCAACACTGGGGTGTTGCAGAAGGATATCAATCTTGTTGGCTTCGCGAATGTATGTCTCCTCCGATAATGTCAACTTGAACAAATGAACTGACGGATGTCCATTTGGTAATGTATGGTTGACTTTCTCAACCTCACAGTCAGGGACATCCACATCCGGAAGAGAATCCTGTTTCAGGTTGACGTATATTTGTCGGGGAACCTTGACAGTGAGTGCGTGGACTTTCCGATCGATCAGGACAAATGCTCGCACAATACCAGGCCGCGATGTTTCAGCAAGTTGTAAGACCTGCCATGTATTGATATACAATAGCTCCGCCTGGTTCCGGAAAAGATTGCTCAAGGAATCGGTAGTAACATTGACCCTCTCTCCGAACAGCTGACGGCGACGGATCCGAGCCTGTTTTTGGATTTTCCATTTCTGCTTCTGATACTTCAGGAATCCAACGTAGTCATCTGTAATCGATGGCATCTTGGTCGGTAGAGTAGCAAACGGATCAAGGGAGGTTTTGGGAAGACCTTCAGGGTGCTTTCTCTTTTGAGAAACCTTGCTTTCGGGTGACGATTTCGACTTCTGTGTGGAGTTGCCAATCACCTCATCCAGGTCACCAGTATGTTGGACGCGATGATCAAGGATGTTTGTGGAGATGTCTGTCAAAGGGGTCTTCTCTGACCGGGTGAACATATCCGTCATTTTCGTCTGTTTGAATTTGTCATCCTTCTGATTGATACGCCTCTGCAACCAGTCCGGATGTGCCACTCTGGGCACAGGGTTTCGAATCTTTTGTAGGGCAGCTGGGATGGTGATGAGCTTCTGTACCACAGAACCCAGGCGCTCGAGATAGTAATCCCAGTCAATGACCGTTCGAGGATCCATATCACCAGGGTCATCTTTCAGCCACTTTCGTAAGAAGAAGCGTTTGACACTTTCCTCGGCTGAGAAAATGGCCACAGGAATGGCTCGCTCAGTAACAGGAGTGTTCCTTGGCCTCGAAGAAATGATATACTTGCAGTTCAAGCCCTTATCTTTGACCATTTGTTCTCCCAAGAATTCTGCGAGGCGCCGAGCGGTTGTGATCGATGTCGACTTCTGGTTCCCATATTCCTCGAGCGTCTTGGTCATGCTTCTGTTCTCAGAAATGAGGTCAATCAGTTCCTCATCGGCCAGAGTCGCGCCATGCTCGTACAGCACGTCTAACCACCGATCAGCCACTTTGGCTACTGCAGCGTAAGTTTCGGTAAGCGTAGACCCTTCTAAGAAGAAGCGGAAAATCTGGGTCTGGAAAATTTTGATGAGCTTCAGCTCTCCTCGACGCTTGACCTCAAAACCCTTCAGTTCCGCCAGAGACCCGTCATGATTGAAAACAGCATAACGTTTCTTCAAGTTCTTATCTTCCTCCTTGGAAGTGGGCAGAATCATCGCCTTGTAAGGCCCATCAACCTCGAAGAAGATAGAGTTGTCACTGTGGGTCTCATATCTGAATGAAGCTGGATCGACAAGAGTCTGATACTGGTGGTTGGTATAGCTTCCGTGCACAAGGTGGTTGAGCATAACACAGGGATAGGAGATACCGAGCTTTTTGCCGTTCTTTAGAGTGAAGGTGAAGTTCTCGGGAAACGAACCAGGAAGCATACACCAGATACCGTCAGTATCGAGCTCAAGAGGGCGGCCGATACGTTCAACCAGCTCTCGTGCCATCTGAATAATGCGAGCTCCGGTCAGACATGTCACGCCAGCCATTTCCATGGAATACCATCGAGAACCCTTTCTCATCACATAACCGTAGAAACTGTTTAGAATGACTTTGTGGGCAAGCTGCAGGGAGTCGTACAAGATAATCATCTTCTTTGCCTCATCAATTTCTGCAGCCGATGCACCAGACGATTTCAGGGCCTCAGTCTTGCCTTTCCAGACCTTCTGCTTCCCCTTGAAGTCATATCTTCGATCACGAAAACTGCGAACAGTGTCGACATAGAACGGATTCTCCCGCTGACAAATGATAGCCTCTCTGACTATCGTTTTGCTATCGTGGATCTTGTGATAGATCTTCTTACTGTAATCCTGCAGTCTCTTTTTGACGATACCGGCTTGCTCTTCAATACTCAAGTCACCAAACATCCTCATTGGGCTATTTTTATATCTTCCGGGGAACTTCTCGTTCGAAACTGCATGGCGAATCATGTTGTACTCGTCGCGTTTTGCAGGAAGAAATTCACCTCTCCAAGCCCATGGCATTCGCCTATCGCAGGTCTTGCCGGGCCGGTTGAAATCACAAGCGGCACAGTTGGACTCTTCAATCATGGAGTCTGGTTGCAGCCGGTTTGTGATCATGATGTTCGGATACATGGAAGCAACATCCAAATGATAAATGAAAGGAACCTCATCCCTATGCGGCTTCTCTTTGAGGCCCATCAACTTGTCAGAAATCTGTTTCTTGATCTCGTCGTAATTGGTGACATCATCCAATGACTTCTTCTCTTCAACCTCAATGCTGAATTTCAGAGCCGCATCGAGATCACGGAGAAGTTCATCCACAGCAGCCGGGTCTACCTTGAAGGTGACTGGTATGTCGCTTCGGAAAACACCAGCCTCAATACTTTCGACGTGCCCTCCAACATAAGTCTCCGACTCGAGCAGATGGCCTTCATAGAAAGCTTCTGGCGGGTCTTTATGCTTGTTGGGTAGGACGATATTGCCCTGGTATGCTTGCACCATAAGAAGCATTTCGCAAAGCGTTCCAGTTCCCTTCCTCAGAGTGTCGTCTGGATTCAAAGGCAGAATTGTGCAAAGGGAGAAGATGAAAGGGTGAACATATTTCATATACAAGTAGTATGTTGCGACGGCATCGGACACGGAGTACTCCGCCAAAGTCTGGGGACGCTCACTGGCGTACGGAGTCATCAACTCTGGATCGAGCTCGTCAGGATCGTATCCAAGCTTCGCGACGGTGACGGCTTTCAAGCCACGACTTCCTTGAGGAAGATAACTGTCACGATTGACCCAAGCGAAGCAATCCATGTGCACACAGTGGTCGGCCTGGTAGATATCCTCGCTGTTCTTCCGGAAGCCAATTTCTTTGTACATATCGATGCCCAACACGCTAGCTCGTGCCTCAACGAAGGGCCAGTCGAAGAAGTCACCGTTGTAAGTGGCAATGACCGTCGGCTTCGCCTCTTTGATATGCTCAAAGAACCGTTCGATGACGCTCCGTTCATCTGGCTCATTGAAAATCATGAATGGCCCGTTGTACTCAGGTTTTGGCGTGTATTCGAAGTCGTTGATGTCCTCAGACACGATTTCTCGATTTGTGATGAGGAAACCTTGGCCATCAATCATATAAGATATCATCATGATCTGATCAATCACGGCGTCCGGGAATTTGAGAGGTAATTTAGTCGTTTCGATATCGAACGCGAGAATGACAGGATCGGCACGAGTGAGTCGCTCTTCTATACAGCTCAGTGAGATAACTCCGTGTTTCGACTCGACTGTGTACCATTTTCCTATACGAATGTCTACGAAACAATTAGCCGAGCGACCTTGAAGGAGCAGAAGCGACCTACCTTTATCGATAGAAACTCGGACATGGTAAGGGACATCATACTCCCTAATATCAACAATAAAATCGCTCGCGTTCATAGTGGCATTAGATCGTGACTCGTTAATTAGTTCATCATCAAAGAGGTCAAAGCCAGCGTTGCCGCTTCAATAACTCAGTCAGTTTCAATGGCCATAGAATCCATGGGTTCCAGACTATACCTTGACATCTCCACATAAGCATCCATCGCTGTCGCATTCTTCTTGTTCTTTTCCGCCAAAGGCAAGATGGTCCTTCGTACTTCCAGCAAGTGGCTGACATTGGCGAAGCTTAGTTGAAGATAGTTCCGGCGATGTCCAAGTAAATGATTCGGCAACGAAAGGTCCTCCTTCTCCACGCGCGTCACCTTCTTGACGAGCCCTTCAAACATTCTGCGACACCACTCCTCAACCTCCGCTTCGTGGCCTTTTTTCACGGCGATCAAGAAATAGGGATCGTATTCGACTGTCGCCTTAAAGCTGGTGCCGCCATCTTCGAGGAAGTAGTAATCGACACCGGCGCGTCCACCGGGGACATTCGGATCCTGAATCGATGTGCTGTGCATGTTGATGAGCCATCCGACTCGCTTCTCACCGGCCTCGAAGCGCGGAAAGCCCAAGGACTCGTCAATGCTGTTGGCCAGCCGGATGGCCTCGAATTTCTCATCTTGAGACGTAGCTTCTGTCGATCTGAGGGACGCGAACTCGACGGTCTTCGTTCGTCTCGGGTTGAATGAAGCAGCCCCAGATCGGAACTTATTGCCGAATTTGCTAGGTTTTCTTGAAGGCATTGCGACGACGTGCCCACCGGCCGGGCCTGAGGATCACTGCAAGATGCGGAGATGATGTCGATAGAACATGGAAAAAAGATAATAAGAGGTTGATGTTTCAGTAAGGGAAAGGGTGGCACATAATTTCGCAGCCTTCGCTAGAGTGGTTATTGTTGGTAGGAGAATAATTCAAGACTGGCTGTAAAGTTGAGTATCTCGATTGCACCTGAATCGACCCGATCCACTGTATGCTGCGGAGCCCTCCAGAGTAACTTAGATTTCGACTTCTAACGCGTTCGCGTTTCTACTTTACGCGTGCCATTGGCCGATCGCCTTGACACGGGGAAACTATCCGCTTTCGTCGTACCGCCGGGCAGGTTCTCGGATCGCGGAATCGTCCGATTGTCCGCGGCCTTATTGTTTCTCTGCGAAGAAGTTCCGCCCGCAATACCGTACAGGTGATTGCTGCTGCTGCTGCAACTGAGTTCAAACAAAATCACATCATGGCTGACGATACGCGGGGCTCCACAACTATTGCTCCGGAGCAAAGGGAGCCGGAATCGCAAAATACTGCATCGGATTTCACATCCCAAAAGAAGCTGAAGCATGAGATTCCTCAATCGCAAGTCGGAAAACTTTGGGACGCATTTGGAAACCCTGAAGAGCCTGTAAACATGCTTCCTTCTGCTGGGATCAAGTCCGGAAAGAAGCATGCCGACATCACGGTCACCGAAGCTATGAAGTCAATGTCGTTGGAGAATGCTACGTCTTTCTACAAAGCACCCTGTGCTCGGGATTCGTTGCTTATCGGAATCGGCGCTGGGTTCGGTATAGGTGGGGTGAGGGGTGTCATTGGAGGTAAGTTGATCACACCAGCTCGCCCTAACTCGTCATTCTTTGAACACTGGCTAACTTCTTGTTTCCTCATATCAGGGCTGCCCAAGATTTGGACTGCCTGTAACTGGGCCGTGGGCGCATTTGCCATTACCGCCCTCGCAACACATGAATTCTGCCAGCGACGTCGAGTACAGGAACTGGACGGCATGAAACAGGCTGTGGAGCTGATGAAGGAGCTCAAACTCAAGAAGCAGCGTGAGAAGGAGCAGAAGGAAAAGGAAGCCGCGCGCCTGGCGGAGGAAGAGAGGCAACGGAAGAGTTGGACCAACCCTTCCAACTACAAGTTCTGGTAGAGTCAATTGCACCTTGCGCGGAGTCTTGGAGTATATTTTCAGGAAATCATTGTATATTATTATATGTCATGTGATATGCATGTCAGGTACATACATATTGTTCTATTCAAGAGCTCCATTCATGTCCTCGTGTTCGTTTCGGCTATTTTTATGTCAACGCATCAAGCAGTGACCTCACAATCAGTCATCTTTTCGTGCAAGATCGTTAGGTAGAGGTGAAGCAGTAGCCTTCAAACAAACTGCTAGAATGTTTGAGAATCGCACTCAATTGCCTCCGTGGGCTTGGTTGCCTATATCATCACATGTTGAACTTGACCCTCTTCTGTATGGCACCACTTTGAATACTTCGAATTTTATCCATTTCGGCACCATCGCGTCGCTCTCGTCGCTTTTCTCGTGCCTCTCTTGCTTCCCGGTTTTTCCATTCTGCGACTTGTTTCTGCCTCTTCTGCGATCTGGCCCATGCGATGGCCGCAGTAGGCTTAAAACCGATGCCATTTATCCCGTAGCCATCATCACTCGGGTCTGAAGGGTTGTGTCCAGTGATCTCCGAGTCATGCCATGTAAGCGGATTTTCAAGCGCATCGTCGGTGAGCGGTGGTGAGCTTCTCGCGCTGCGAATCTTAGATGTGGTCGATGAGTTCTTCTTCTTGCGCGGACTAGGGGTTGACTGCCTTTTTCTAGGCGATGCGGAGATGCCGGTATTGGGGTTATCAGACTGGGGATGGCATGTGTTTTCCGTCGACTCGTCTCGATTGGGCTGATCTTCTGCGTGAGAGCTAGTTTCGGGCATTTTGCGAGGCCCAAAGATAGAGTCGTATAAAACAGGCCAGCATCCCGACGGCACCGAATGCGTGACAGCGCCCTGATCTAACCCATATGGAGTTGGGGGAGTCGATAGACGGTCTCCACGGATGGCCAGTTCTCCTAGGCGACCGGCCACTACCGCTCGAGGACTATACCTTCCCAAGTCTTCGGTCTCTCGAAGTCTGGCTTCCTGAAGGCTGAGTATCGAGACAGTAGATGTGGGTGACGATGGACTGTACTGGTCGGTATCCTCTGACGATGCCCTCTTGCGCTTAGGGGAGTTGAAGGGCATCGTCGTCAAACTCGAAGACATCATCGCGGGGCGAAATCTGCAAGCGGATGTGGGGGCATCACAGCGCCCGAGCGCCAGTAGTTTGGGTTGGAAGAATTACCCAGCAATTTGTAGGCTTCAGTTAAGACGTTGGTCAGCGTTGTGATGGATCAATATCAGAGACAGTAGAAGAAGCCATCATGGCGAAGAAGCTGCGGGCGATTTGCTGTCATGATAGGAAGAGAGGGGGAGGGGGGCTAGAGTACAACAGGGTTGGATTATCCTTGGAGGTGAGGTGAAGTGAGGGGGTTCGGCTCTGCTTGGTTGGCCTAGATTATACCAGGCGGTCCCTCCGACAGACAATGAATAAGCAATGTCTGACAGAGCAAACGTCAACGTGCAGCTAGTCTAGCAGTCAATCAATCAATCAGACATGGATGCCTGTTCAAACAACAAAGCACTTGATTTGTGTGGCGTGAAGGAGCGAGGAAAGTATATGAAAATCCCGATTTAGATTTGCAGAACTACAAGGAAATTTTAGAACGACACAGGCCTCAATCGAATAATTTACAAATACCCAGCCCGTCACGTCGTGAAGGAGAAAACAGAACATAGATGGCAAGAATAAATCAACCCGACAACGCCTCGACAATAATGACGCCCTCCTGTCCCAAGACTTGGTGGTGCTTCTAGACCTTCTTCTTCTTTTTGGACGGCTCAGCATCGCTGTCGTGCTTCCGCTTCTTCTTCTCCGACTCGCCCTCGCCAACGTCTGACTTGCGCTTCTTCTTCTTGTCCTCCTTCTCACCCTTCTCCTTCTTCTCCTTCTTTTCCTTCTTCTCCTTCTTCTCCTTCTTCTCCTTCTTGGCCTTCTTGTCTTCCTTGTCGGACTCAGCATCCTTCATCTCATCGTCGCTCTGCTCGGCGTCGATGTCCATATCAGCAAGGAGAGCATCCATGGCGTTTTTCTGCATGTTATGTCAGTATATGGCTAGGATTCGATGGAAGCAGCAACATCTATATACGTACCATGGCAACTTCGTTCTTGGTAGGTGCGGCGCCAGTAGCGTAGAACTCCAGGCGCTCCTCAACCTGGGCCTTCAGGGCCTCTCCAAACTTGGTGTTGGGCTCCTCGGAGAAATTGTCGATTCTGGAGGCGATGGAGCACTTGTTGGCAAGGAAGCGCGAGATGCGACCCTTGTTCTTGGGACCGGCCCGGCCAATGAAGGACGAGTGGTACAGGAGACCGTACTTGGGGGTGTTACCCTTGGTCTTCAAGGCTCTGAAGAGAGCCTTCTCAGCACCGAGAATCTGAACAGTAGAGGCGGGGTACTTGGAGAGGTTGGTCAAGCTTCCGGCGTGGGAGATGAGGCGAGCACCAACGATCTCGCCAATCAGAGCAGCAAGGTTAGGAGCAACAACGCTCATCTTAGAAACCAAGTAGGCATGGAGAGACTTGCGATACTTTGACAGGCTGACAACACGCTGAGCGAAAGAGATCACGTTCTCCATATCAGTCTCAGAGATCTCCTGACCCATACTGTGCTTAGCAGCATCGATGACGCTCTGGGCAACACCCTCATCATCCTCGACGAGGGCGGCAAGATCGTGCAGCTTGTCATCAGTCAGATCCTTCTTATCCTTGACGAACAAGGCAACCTGAGCGTAGCGCTGATTGTCCGAGACAATCTTGATAAGTTCAGGGAAGTGCCAAGAGTACCACTCGCGCACTCTCATCGAGAAAGTGTTGATGGCCTTGTCGAGTTGGTCGAGAATAGCAATGGCCTGGATGATGTGGTTGTCGTCGCGCTGAACGGAGAACTTAACCTTGGCACGGGAGTAGGCGTGACCGAGACCAAGCTGGGCAGTGTCGATATCACCCTCACGGAGTTGCTTGAGCAGCTTAGTGGCGTGCAGTCTAATTCCACGAAGCATATCCTGAACAACCTCGCTGGTCTCGCCGGTTTCGCAGTCGACGAAGTCGAAGGCCGACTTAATGCTTCCAGCAAGAGCCTTGTCCAACAGACCCAGAACGACCTTCTTCTTCTTGTTGGGCTTGGGAAGGTTCAATTCGAGGAAAGAGACGAGCGTATCCGAGGCGACACCTTCCGAGATGTCGTTGATTTCACTGAGGGCCTGCTTGTTGTTCCTGGACTTGGTCAGTATTCTAGCGGGAAAAAAGGCGAAAAATCCCCCTCAAGGCCCGATTGACGTACTCAAAAGGCAGGAAACTGGCCAGCTCAACCATCTTTCCGAACTTAGCAAGGTCATCAACGCCTTCCTGGACCTCCTTCAAACGGTTGCCGACACTGTCACCCTGGTGGGCGACCTTGAAGAGAGAGTAGCCGATAGGGCCCTCCCAGAGAAGATAGTCGGCCATAGCGAAATTGAGATCAAGGCCCAAAAAAATGTAAGAAAAGGTCCTTCACGTGCGAGCGACTGAGCCCGCTTCTCAATTTCCCTGGAATTTGCGACCGTAGACCGGGGCTGGAGCGACGTGGAGTTGAAGAAAAGCCTAGGAGGGTAGATTTGCAGAGTCGAGCCGTCGGAGCTCTTTTTTTTCGCAGCGGCGCTAGTGCGAACACAGAATGTGGGCTTTTTGCCAAAACCAAGGCTCACCGCATTCACGGCAAACACCACCGCTAAGGTTTCTGGCAGTGCGGGCATCCTCTATCGGGCCTATAGCAACAGCAAGCTGGTCTAATCTCAAGTCCTTTCGTTGGGTCCTTGTTGCTTGTCATTCAATCTCTCTGCAGAAATGTCTGCGACGCAATTACTCAACCCCAAGGCCGAGTCGAGGGTATAAAATCCATTCCCCTCCCCCTCCTCTCAATAGCCCCTCAGTGGCCTAGCAGAGACTAACGGCTCACAGCGGAGAGCGGAGGCTTTGAAAGTGAACATCAGCGCTGGTGAGGGTCTCCAGGATGTCTTGAAGTCTAATCTTGGTCCTTCTGGAACGTTGAAGATGTATGTTTGGTGTCACTGATAATTTTCCAACTTCTTAATAAGCTAACAAATCATAGGCTGGTGGACGGTGCAGGCGGAGTATGATTTATTTCCTCTCAACCGGTCGACCGAAGGTCTAACAAAAGAATCTCAATCAGATCAAATTAACTAAAGATGGCAACGTTCTTCTCCGTGAGATGGTAAGTCTATCTTGGTCAGCGCTTTCTTCCATCAACAAGAGACTAATTGCAATAGCAAATCCAAAACCCAACGGCTGTAAGCTACCTTTCCGGTCATATATCGAAAGCCCCTTTCTAATTGCCTCGAAGGTTATGATCGCTCGTGCCGCGACAGCTCAGGATGATATTACTGGCGACGGAACGACGTCCGTTGTCCTGTCGGTTGGAGAGCTCTTGAAGCAGGCGGATCGTTACATCTCCGAGGGTCTGCACCCTAGAGTCATCACGGATGGTTATGAGATTGCAAAGAACGAGACTCTCAAGGTATGCTATGTTAGAGAAATCTCCTATACTTTCGGCATACTGAAGTATGATGGCATATAGTTCCTCGACCAGTTTAAGATCGAGCGAGCCATCGACCGCGAACTCCTTCTGTCCGTCGCCCGGACGTCCCTCAGCACAAAACTGAACAGCGCCCTCGCTGAGAAGCTCACCCCCGATATTGTCGATGCCGTCCTCGCTATCCACAGAGCTCCTGAGAAGCCCGATTTGCACATGGTTGAGATTATGACGATGCAACACCGCACCTCTTCCGATACCAAGCTCATCCGTGGTCTCGCTCTTGACCACGGCGCCAGACATCCCGATATGCCTAAGCGTGTGGAGAATGCTTTCATCTTGACACTGAACGTCAGCTTGGAGTACGAGAAATCTGAAATCAACTCCGGTTTCTACTACTCTTCTGCTGAGCAAAGAGACAAGTTGGTGGAGAGTGAGCGCAAGTTTGTGGATGCCAAGCTGCAGAAAATCGTGGAGCTCAAGAAGCTTGTTTGCGGCAACGATCCTAAGAAGAGCTTCGTTGTGATCAACCAGAAGGGAATCGACCCCCTGAGTTTGGATGTCCTTGTCAAGAACGGAATCTTGGCTCTCCGGAGAGCTAAGCGCAGAAACATGGAGCGTCTCCAGCTTATTTGCGGTGGTGTCGCACAGAACAGCGTGGAGGATATGACCCCCGATGTTCTCGGCTGGGCTGGTCTTGTCTATGAGCACCAGCTTGGTGAGGAGAAGTACACTTTCGTCGAGGAAGTCAAGGATCCTAAGTCCGTGACTATCCTCATCAAGGGCCCCAACCAGCACACCATTGCGCAAGTGAAGGACGCTGTTCGTGACGGTCTGCGCTCCGTTTACAACACCATCGTCGATGGTTGTGTCGTTCCCGGTGCCGGTGCGTTCCAAGTGGCCTGCGCCGGCCACCTGTCGTCCGACGCCTTCAAGAAGACTGTTAAGGGTAAGGCCAAATGGGGTGTCCAGGCTTTCGCCGATGCACTTTTGATCATTCCCAAGACCCTTGCAGCCAACTCGGGCCACGATATCCAGGACTCTCTGGCGATGCTTCAAGACGAGCTCGCCAACGGCAACAACGCCGGTCTGGACTTGACCACCGGCGAGCCGATGGATCCTGTGCAAGAGGGTGTCTTTGACTCTTTCCGTGTGTTGCGCAATTGCATTGCTTCCAGCACGGGCATTGCCTCGAACCTTCTACTTTGCGATGAGTTGCTCAAGGCCCGTCAAATGAGCAGACAGTCAGGACCTGGTGGTATGGACGAGTAATGTGGCTTCTACAGACAAGGCATATTATGTAAAGCACTTCTGTGAATTTCTTCATCGGCTTGCAGGTTAGAAAAATACTCTACGTCGAAAGTAGGCTCAAAATTGGCCATACTAATGCATCTTTGGCACATCCTAATTGAATCGAATATAATCCACAGAGCTCGCACTCCGCCAGAAAATATTACCGGTTTACTGGCTTAAGCTACCATAATTTGGTTCGATATGTGCTCATGGAGGTTTTCTGATCTGTCCTCGGCCGCGGTGTTGTTCTCAGGACCTTCGCGTTGTGTCGCAAGGCCTAGGATTCATATACACGCCAGTCTTGCTCTGCGGAGTGGTTGAATCGGGATCCAATCGTACATGGCGTTTCCATACGGTCAGTAGCGTATGTAGATAGTAGTAATACAAAGGGCGCTGTTCCACAGACGCGCATACAGAAAGGAGCATAGCCGCAAGAGAGACTATCCATCGCCGCTTTCATTACTGCCCCCATTGCTTTCTTCGTCCAAATCGGTCGGAGCCCATTTACCATGAAACCCCTCATCTTTAACCGGGTCCCACAGGGCCATATGATGAGACTTGGCCCATTCGAGGACGGTTGTCTTTCGTATTGTTACAATTGAGTCACCCCCAGCGCTAGTCGCTCCAGATGAATCCTTTGACTTCCGCTTCTTGGCCGGCGTGGCCGGCTGAACTACTCCCAGGCCCCTGAGAGCTGTGATGACGTCCTCGGTCAACATGCCCGTTGCCAGACCAATGTCCTGCACTGTCATGAGCTCATGGGCGGGTCTCTTTTTCGGGCCCTTAGGGGACTTTGACTTCTGTGGCACAGCAGCTTCCTCTGCGTCTTCGGCCTTCCAACCATGCAAGAGCAGGTGTCTGGCCACACGCTCCTCCCAAAAGCGCGCGTAACTCTTGCGACCCATTTCGCTCAATGGTCGCTCCGGCCCGCCGATCAACCCACTGTCGCGCTCCCAGGCACTAATCTTATAACTGACCCCCATCAACAATTTCCCAAGCTGCTTGTGCTGGTACGGGGGGAAGACCAGGATACAGGCGAGGTTGTTGGCATCCCAGGAGAGCTTTTCCTTCGAGAAGAACCCCAGCACATGGTAGGAATCGGGGTCGGCGGGGTCGGTGAAAACGAGGAGGTAGTAGAAGAATGACACGACATCGAAGAAGACCGACTTGTGATCAAGGAACAGTTTCGCGAACAGGGAGAGGTTCTGCGCGTAGAGCTTGTGATGTTCGCCGTCCAACTCCCAGACCGAGTAGCCTCCCTGCTCGTAGACCTTGACCCCGGGCGGTGATTTCCGGTGTGGGCAAAGGCGCGTGTGTTTCGCGTAGGCGTGCTCGTCGCACGAGTAACGGAAGCACCAGCGACAGACGTACAACCTGTCTGTATCCTTACTGACTAGATCCTCCGGGTATATGGACTGGTACCAGGTCTGGAAAAGGAGATCACCGAGTACGACGTGCTTCACATTACGTTCGGTCGTGGAGGACGGCTGGGCACGCGTCGCGGGATCGTCGGCGGCCATTGAAGACAGGCAAATCCAGCACGAGGAGCACTAGGCTTCGGAATTGCGATTGAGGAGGGGGCGGAGGGCTTGAGATGTTGGATGAAAGAATTAGGAAGACCCCTTCTATGCCGGTGAGGATGTGATGTGAATGTGTTTCCGTGTGTTGGCCATTGGAATGGGTGTTGGAGTGTAGGAGGTGTGTCGAGAGTACTCCCAGATCGGGATCGCTATGGATTGATTAGCCTGAATAGGATTCAATTCCTATTCAACCAACACACGCAGTAGGAAATTCTGTCTTGACTGTTCGTTTTATTTCGCCTTTTGTTCAGAATATTCGTCTGCACATGGTTTCCGACTCTATTCAAATCTCTGTAGTGGTAATAGCATATAGAAGATACTAACTATAGTTGATGTAGAATGTACTAATTCGCAGCCGCAATGATGAACGGGTCATTTGACGGGCTTCCCCCGGGCCAATCAGCAGACCTCAAAGGCGGGAGATGCTTTTGGAACTGGAAAATGAACGGAGCAGCTTCTCCAATGGTTGATTGACTGATTGAACTGATTTTACTTTGACCGGTTGACTGTTTGACTGTGTAAGAACTGAGGAAGAGGACCCGGCCAACCTGAAGTGTTCCCCTCCTCCTCCTCCTCCCTCATTGGAGACTGTCTGATCGACCTTCTTCACATCCCTATTGCCCCTCCCCCATACCCTCTTGTCTCCAATATATCGCTGCCTGAATCCTGCTTGCCTTGCTTAATCGCTCGTGTTCAGTTGTACTGTCGATGATTGCTCTCTTTCAAGAAAACTCTTTTGTTGAACTGGAGGCAAATCCAAGCTGCCTAGTAGATTACATACGACGACTGACCTGACTAACTACAATCACCAACACCACCACTGCCACTACAAATCAACCCGCTCATAGGCAGCAGCAATAGTGACGACTATAGGCTTTCTGTGTATTGACTTCCTTTGCCTCCACAACTTTCCCTCCTTATTACCTTTCTAGGGTCTCTATTTCTTTATCTACAAATAGTCACTCTGTCAGTTCCCGACATCAACATTTTGCATCTACCCGCTCGCTGCCAATCCCATTCGGCCCACTCTTCCTCGGATATCGATATCGCTCCTTTGCGACCTACAAACTACGATCACCTATCGTCTCTGGTTGAAACCTGCCCTTCTGGCGGCTTTGGGACGGAGTTTCTCTCTCCCGCGACCGCCCGCTAGCTCCAGAGATGTTGAAGCCTTTCCAAATCAGAGATCTCCACAGGTCCCCATCATCGTCATTTCCAAATGAGGCCGCAGATCTAGACCGCCCCCTGTCTCCAACGAGACGCCGGGGTATCGTGCAGCTGTCGGCGTCTCAATATGATAACTTATCTTCCAGCCATCCGCGAGCCCGCTTGACGTATCTTGACGAAGATGATGGCGAGCTTATCACGGTACGAGCTCCAATCCTTGACCGTTGATCTGAGTACTGACATGTTGTATGATGGTAGGTCGGTTCTTCTCTTGAGCTCTCACAGCGACTTGAGGAACCCGTTGATGCAGAGCTCGATCCTATTACAGCCCCCCAACCGGCCCTCGAACCTATGCATATTTTTGACATTCGTCGGTCAAATTCGGTCACGGAGCTGTGGAAGACATTCGAATGCAAGCAGGAAACACGGGAGACAAAGGACATGAATGATGCGACAACCGAGTCCACACCTGCAGAACCCTCCGCATCAACCACCCACCAGACAGCAGAAGGCTCAGATTCTCCACAGAGAGATGCTCACGCAGCTGATATCGAGGAGTCCGAATCGCTCCTGGCTGCATTTGAGGCTGAGATGGCCAAGTTTCTCAGTACTTCTCGGCCTGCAACTGGTCCTACACCCCCCGCAGAATCCTCCTTCCCCTCGCAGTCAAACTCAGAGTCAAGATCGGCCAGGCCTCAGAATGCAGCCGAAGCATTTACTCACGCAATGCATAGCTTGATTGACGGGGCTGAGTTGCTCAGCTCTGGGTTAATGTCAAGATTGCCTGAAATCGAGAGACAACTGCAAAACGCTCAGAGGGCCATACCTGAAAATGTTGGGGCCTCTGTGCAGGGAGCTCTTGCAGCCGTAGAAGCTCAGCTCAGACAAGTGACTAATTCCCTCAATAACTCTCCAGCAGTGACTGCACAGGCGGCCCACATATTAGAGGGCGAGCTTCCCACGGCCACGAGCACAGTGGAAAGCCTGCGCTCCATGGCGTCCGAACTTGGCAACGTTGGCCACACATTGTTTGAGGCATTCGAGGCAGAGCTTGGCTGCAATCGGACCAGGCCACATGAGCAATCTTCTGCTACATCCACAGAGCACCGGAGCTCGGATAATCTGGTGTCAGACAGGAATCCCGAAGTCACGCAAGCACGTAGCACGGAGACCAGTCTTGAAACGACAGACTCAACTACGGGCCTCGAAACAAAGGAATTAACTACGAAAGAGAAAAACGAGGCAAAGGATGCCGGGTTGCAGGAAAGTGCGGCTCAGCCTAGGATGTCTAGCAACCTCGACTCCAGTGATCCGATCTCAGAGCCGTCTCGTCGTCAGACTCAATCCATCCGCTTCCCCGATTTCCAGCCTCCTATGCAGCCCATGCATCATTCCCGACGCCGCCCTCACCCTTACCCACCTCCGGCTCCTCATCCTCATCACCATCCACGCGCACCTCCCTTTCCTCCTTTCTTCCATCACCCGCCACCTCCGCACTGGCAACCACCCCCAGGAGTCCCTCCATCATGGCCATTCTCAACACTACCGGAGCTCCGCAATGGCTACCCCTCTGCACCCCCTCCACCACCACCACCTCACTTTCATTTGAACCATCATCCTTTAGATTTGCGGTCACACTTACATCGAGGAAGACACCAAGGCCGATACCCAGTCGGGCCCACGAACTTCTCGGATGTGCCGGCTGACAATGATATGGGCCCGACGGATGTCCCTCCCGCCGCTTGTCATGCGCGTGGAGTGCGACCCTCCGAAGAGGGTACCGCATTGTTCATTGGTAATGTGGGCTTTGACGTCAGTGAAAAGATGATTACCGACGTTTTTGCCTCCAAAGGATTTTTGGTTGACGTCCACCTCCCCCAAGAATCTGAAACTGGGAAACATGCTGGATTTGGATACCTACAGTTCCCAACAGTACATGCAGCAAAGGCAGCTTTGGATGCTCTACAGGGAGAACATATTGACGGACATGCCATCAACCTGGAGTCCAGTGACCATTCGCCCATTCTCGGGTTACGACCACAAAAAGCTCGGTCGCAACCTGAATCAAATCAACCAGTGGCTAGTGCTACTGCCCGTACAAAACGGCCATCAGAGCTTCAGGGTTCCGTGGCGTCACCTGCAAGGCACAGTGCCGACGAGGCTTCCGCGAAGCGCGCGGTGCCCCTGACGGTGGCGGACCTGTGCTCCAACGATAATCGCAAGCGAGGCGATGTGGTGTCCTCCATGAATGGCCTGGAAATCCCATCAGATGATGATGCTGATCAGCTCAACATCCTTTATCCATCACTCCTCCCTGAGGGTTCTCCGCAGCCATCAAGGTCGAACAGCATCCCATCAACTCTGTCAGATTTGACTGCAGAGGTCGAGCAGCGTCGCTTCCCGCCGATTTCGCAGCTAGAAGCGCAGTTCCGTGCTATGCAATGTCATCAGACCGCGCCCGCTCAGAGTAAAACCCCAGACGACGGCCCCAAAAGTCTGGATGCTGGATTAACATCTCCATCGTCGTCGTCGACCATTCCGGGTACATTTCCGGAAACCAGCGGCGATGCTGCTAAGCCGGTAGAGACCCCTTCCTCAAGTCACCATGTGCCAGACGAGCTTGAGAGTCAGATTGGGCCTCGTCGCCATAGTCGACGCTCGAGATCTATGAAGCACCCTCACTCATCTTTGAAGGGTCATGGTGTAGGTTCTGACCAAGTAGAGCCCGGGCCGTCTCACAATTTCTTTGGCCGCCCAAGGCCAAACTTTAGTCACCGTGCTAGACATCACAGAGAGCCCGAAGGCTCCTCTAGCCAGCCACAGCTGACTCCAACCATGCGGCAAACCAGCATTGATGCATGCGTGGCTACATTGGTTGATCTGGGTTATGGTGGTGCAAGCGATGGCGGTCTGCAGCGCATCGCAGTGTATGCTGCAGCTGCAGATGCTAATGTGCTTGACGCTATCGACATGATCGAAGAGGAACGGAAGGCCTATGAGCAGCAGGGATCCTCCATGTGATGATTCATGGTATAGCATTAATTGTTTCTGGCTCGTGCTATTTGATATGACTGCGATTCGTTATGATTGTGCGTTCCGGCTGGACTGAGGATTTGTTTTTCTTATTGGGACTTCTTTTTCATTCAAGACTGATGATAGCCCACTCTACTCAGAATTAAAACTAGCACTTAGGTATTCATTTTTTAATGCCTTGTTCAAGCGAACACCAGCACTAGTTGTAGGCACAGCATATCTACAAGGTAGTCTCTACTCCGTAGCTTGTAGCGTCCGGTCACGGCGGGCGGAGCTGAATCATCATGCCGGGCGGCTGCCGCCTTTTTTCCTCCGCAACGCGCACCCTGGAGCTTAGCTTAGGATCTACTCTGCCAGTGTAGCTACAGTTACACTCATTATCTACTCCTGTTCCTCCTTCAAAGATGCGGATCTGGCATCGGTCATTCGCCACATCTTTTGCGAGGCTCAATGCTAGGCCCGCGACAACGATCCCCGGCCCTCCGCTTCTCCGGTGCGCGCAAGTCCTCGACAAAAACCGCACAGGACCCAACAGTCTGGAAGACCAAGAAATCAAATTACAGGGATACATCAATAATGTTCGCAAACACAAGCGCTTTTCCTTTGTAGAATTCGCCGATGGATCAACGGTCGAGGCTCTGCAGGCTATGGTGAGTGCGGCGCAGGCCGCTGGGTATGTTCCCTCTAATCTCTGTTTTCCTATTGAGTCGACAAGTCAATTAATCTCGATTCTATCTTCA